TGTAACGACCCTGCATCATTTCAGACATGTAACGACCCTGCATCATTTCAGACATGTAACGATCCTGCTTCATTTCAAACATGTAACGACCCTGCATCATTTCAGACATGTAACGACCCTGCTTCATTTCAGACATGTAATGGCTCTGGCCGAATTCAGACATATTTGCATCATTTCAGACATGTCGCACTGCGACCACCGTGTGTACGTGGAGCTGAATGGCCTGAAAGTACACATGTACAACCGCACTGCGCTGTACAGCGAGCTGGAGAAGTTCTTCGGGCTGGAGCAGCAGATGGCACAGTCGCAGGACAAAGACTTGGATAATAAAGGCGCTGGTGTTGTGGCCGCTGATCCTAATGACATGAGCTTCTGGTCGTCATGGCGAGACCTCATCCCGGTCATTAAAATAGACCTCAACATGGTCAGTTTATGTTGAGTTTATTGCCTGTAATTGTAGTGGACATGGTGAGTTTATGTTGAGTTTATTGCCAGTAATTGTAGTGGACATGGTGAGTTTATGTTGAGTTTATTGCCTGTAATTGTAGTGAACATGGTCAGTTTATGTTGAGTTTATTGCCAGTAATTGTAGTGAACATGGTCAGTTTATGTTGAGTTTATTGCCAGTAATTGTAGTGAACATGGTCAGTTTATGTTGAGTTTATTGCCAGTAATTGTAGTGAACATGGTCAGTTTATGTTGAGTTTATTGCCTGTAATTGTAGTGAACATGGTCAGTTTATGTTGAGTTTATTGTCTGTAATTGTAGTGAACATGGTCAGTTTATGTAGAGTTTGTAGCCACCAATTATAGTGAACATGGTGAATTTTTAACAACTTAATTCGTGTGAATTATGTAATCTTTATTCTCTATTTTTTTGTCAACTGGGGAATGGTATTCATAAACAACATAAGTAATATTGAGATTAAGGTTCTCATGTATTTTACTTTCATGGATTGCATTACGAAATTTATAGAAATAATAAAAAAGACTTTGATTTAAGAAATGAAATGTTACTTTTTTGTCATCCAATAATCAACTCTATAGATAACAAAAGGAATATTAGTGTTATTATGTATTTTGTTTTTTCTACACCCGCAAAATAATCGAAAAGAATTTGATTTGAGAAATGAAATTTTAGTTTTTTGTCACCCAACAATTAATATTACAGATACGTAATGGAATATAAATGTTGTTATGTATTTTGTTTTCTGTAGGCCCGCCTCGCATTTGGGAACCGTCTGGTGTCGTCTACGCTGGTGATCACGGCAGACAAAACCGAGGCTTCCTACACGACCAGACCTGCTGCCTGGTCCCTAGACCACTTCACGCACGCTGTTAATGCTACCATAGAGAACCTCAGGGTACGTGACACGCTCGCAGACCACTTCACGCACGCAGACCACTTCACGCTCGCAGACCACTTCACGCACGCAGACCACTTCACGCTTCACGCACGCCACGCAGACCACTTGACGCACGCAGACCACTTCACGCACACATTCCGAGTTTCTTATGGAATGGAAGTCTATTTTTTTCTGCGCCGAAATTCACACGCTACAAAGGTTCAAGTCGGACCTTAATTCATTTTGACTTCAAAACCAAGACGTATCAGTTTATCTAAGCCGTTTTTAATTCTATATATAACTCATTGCTGCTAACTTGGCATTCTGATCACTCTGTGTTACTTTGTTCTATGGGGCACACAATCAGCACATAAAGAAATGTTCCTGGCCATTTTCTGAGGAACTATTTTTCTCATTACCGGACGTTTTTATTTCCATTTAACATTGAGTTTTCTATTCCAGGTAATTCTCGCCCCGAGCCCGAAATTTACGGGGCCTGTGGACGAGCCTCCGCGGTTCATGGGCGAAGGCTTCGTCGTGATGTCCTCGGCTAAAGTTTTCTGCTACTACTACCAGGACCAGCCTGGTCTGGTACCCAGCCAGCCCCAGGTCAGTACCACTACCAGGACCAGCCTGGTCTGGTACCCAGCCAGCCCCAGGTCAGTACCACCACTACCAGGACCAGCCTGGTCTGGTACCCAGCCAGCCCCAGGTCAGTACCACCACTACCAGGACCAGCCTGGTCTGGTATCATTTGCACGTCATCATCTCGTTGGCGTCTAAGCATCGAACATTTCGCAGAGCATTCAAATGTTTTATTTTCTAATTTATTCAGCTTTTCTGCGCTATTTTTTTCTCACTCACATGCTTATTTTGTTAGGAACGTGCCCAAGTACACGTTGCTACACAGTATTTAACGCAGGCTTGAGGTTCTGTTGCACCGGACGTCATGATAAGCTTTCCTTAGAATTATAATGATACTTCTGATTTTAATTCTAAAGATACTAATGGTAATAGTAGTAATACAAATAATAATAATAATAACTTACTCAATAGATGGAAGTGCTGCCGAGCGGCGACAGCGTGGCAGCTCCGGCGCCCACGTGGGGCCTCAACGTGCGCTGCGGCCGCAGCACCAGCCTCAGCTACGGGCCCTGGGCCGACCGACAGAGGGACCATCTGCTGCACCTGTTCTTCCCTCAGAACTACCAAAACTTGACGGTAAGAACCACTGGTCTTGGTTAGCTCCCATACCACCTCACGTTTCACGAAGTCAATATCAGGAATCGGTCCCTAGAGTTCGATTATCTCCTGTACATGAATGCCCGATCTTTTTCGGTCGTGCCCGATGTCTAGAGCTCATAAATATCTGGTAAATAGCTAATAAATATCCGAAAAATAGCTGATAAATAGCTGATACATATATAATAAATATCTGATAAATATCTGATAACTTGCTGATAAATAGCTGATACATATATGATAAATATCTAATAAATAGCTAATAAATAGCTTATAAATAACTGATAAATAGCTGATAAATAACTGATAAATAGCTGATAAATATTTGATAAATATCTGATAAATAGCTAATGTATGGCTGATAAATAACTGATAAATAGCTGATAAACAACTGTTGAATAGCTGATAAATAATAGCTGATAAATAGCTGATGAATAGCTGATGAATAGCTGATAATTACCTGATAAAATTTTATCTGATAAATTACTGATAAATGTCTGATAAATCTCTGATAAATCTCTGATAAATATCTGATAAATATCTGATGAATATCTAAAAATTATCTGATAAATTACTGATAAATATCTGATAAATATCTGATAAATAACTGATAAATATCTGATAAATATCTGATAAATAACTGATAAATATCTGATGAATATCTGATGAATATCTAAAAAATATCTGATAAATATCTGATTAATAACTGATAAATATCTGATAAATATCTGATAAATATCTGATAAATGTCTGATAAATGTCTGATAAATGTCTGATAAATGTCTGATAAATATCTGATAAATAACTGATAAATATCTGATAAATGTCTGATGAATGTCTGATGAATATTTGATAAATATCTGATAAATAACTGATAAATATCTGATAAATAGCTGATAAATATCTGATAAATATCTGATAAATAGCTGATAAATATCTGATAAATGTCTGATAAATAGCTGATAAATATCTGATAAATGTCTGACACGCACAGGTGACCGGACCGCCTGTACCGGGAGAACTGCGGAAAGCTACGCAGCTCGTCCTGAAGCTCAACTTCCTGACAGACGCGACCATAGACCTGCTGTTCTCTAAGGTAAGTTGGTGAGCCAATTGAATTGGATTAATGCATTGCCAATTGAATTGGATTAATGCATTGCCAATTGAATTGGATTAATGCATTGCCAATCGAATTGGATTTCATGGATTGCCAATTGAAATGCAACTCTGTATGAATATCGACCAAACTAATTGGCCCTAAACTGGCTACTTTTGATTAACGGTTTACGGAATGGTCAAGTTTGACTCACAATGCACAGGATAAAAATTGGCGTGCAAATTAGAGTGCAATGTAACAAAAATATCATCCTAACTGACTAAATCTGGCTATACGTTCGATCAATTGGTCAAGCTTTATTCATAGGAATTGGCTTAAACTAACCACGATAAGTTCATTGTTTTGTATTACTCACAGGACAAGGAGACGAAGGCGGTGCATCTGAGCATCCAGAGGGGCTCGTCCATGGAGCTGATCCTGCCGTGGGTGGTGGGGGAGCAGGGCTTCTGCACGACCGTGAGGGGGCAGCTTCTGCACCTCGACTCCTCCACCAGCCTCGCCGTCAGTATACTCCACTTAGCTGCCATATCTAACTTTGCTTACTAGAGTCGCCAGGCAACTAGAAGTCGCCAGGCAACTAAAAGTCGCCAGGCAACTGAAAGTCGCCAGGCGTACAATAACCCCGCCTCTTGTTACGTGCAGTACCGTAACCCCGCCTCATGTTACGTGCAGTACCGTATACCCCGCCTCTTGTTACGTGCAGTACCGTAACCCCGCCTCTTGTTACGTGCAGTACCGTAACCCCGCCTCATGTTACGTGCAGTACCGTAACCCCACCTCTTGTTACGGGCAGTACCGTAACCTGGTTGAGGCTGAGACGCTGGACTACTCGGTCTGTGTGCGGTACCCGCGGGTGTGGAACCATCGCCAGACGTGGGACGTGACGCTGCTGGGGACCAAGCTCACGTACCACTTCCTCTACGCCCACAAGTACTTCTTCCAGGGTGGGTAGTGTGGGTACCTGCACAGCAGCAGTACTTCTTCCAAGGTGGGTAGTGTGGGTACCTGCGCGGCAGCAGTACTTCTTCCAAGGTGGGTAGTGTGGGTACCTGCACGACAGCAGTACTTCTTCCAAGGTGGGTATTACTTCTTCCACCATTGACTTATACCATCATGAAGTGTATTTCATTTTATTATTATTTTGATGTTATAGAGTTGCAAGAAGACTGGGCAGCAAGAGCTGTATTGTATTGTATTATTTGTATAATATACAGAGTTGCAAGAAGACTGGGGCAGCAAGAGCTGTATTGTATTGTATTATTTGTATAATATACAGAGTTACAAGAAGACTGGGGCAGCAAGAGCTGTATTGTATTGTATTATTTGTATAATATACAGAGTTACAAGAAGACTGGGGCAGCAAGAGTGCCCCAGACTTGTACCACTTCGTACCGTACGTCGTGAACGTGGTGCTCACGCTGCATCAGTTCGAGCTCGTCACCCTCGCCAACGAGGCCAACTGGGTCGACTGCAGCTCTAAGAACACCAGTAATGGTCAGTTAATTCTTGTTGTTGTTAATTGTTGTTAATTGTTGGTAAATGTTAATTGTTGTTGTTAATTGTTGTTAATTGTTGTCTTGTTAAAACTACGTTGATTACGATTTTATTTCGTTAAAAACCATTTCGTTTCAACGTCTGATGATTGATGACTGAGTAATGGTCAGTTAATATTGTATATAAATACTTGTATATATGCTGAGTGAAATGTTGTTTTGTTAAAATTACGTTGATTACGAATTAATTTCCTTAAAAATCAAGGTAGTTTCAACGTCTGATGATTGATGACATGAGTAATGGTCAGTCAATATTGTTTATTCATGCTTGTATATGCTGAGTGAATTGTTGTTTGTTAAAACACCGTTGATTACGAATTAATTTCGTCGCAAATCAACATTAAATCAACATGAGATGACTGATGATAGTTGTTGACAGCTCACGTGGCGTTCTGTGGGGAACATTTCAGCCTGAACTTCTGCCTGCCCTTCCATGAGTTCCTGCCACCCGTCGTCGCTCTCAACTTCAACATGAAGGTCTGCTTGTAATATTAACTATAATTATATTATACAAATTAATTATATAATAAAAAATGAAAAAATAGAATTAGTGATACAGAAAATGCAAAAAATAATATAGAATAATGTGATAGTAAAACATTATGTAATGAGATGTTATAAAAATAGATAATATTATTCAATTTCCGAGACACTTCAGACTTTTTTTTCAGTTACCGTGCTCCTTGAAGTTTCCGATATTTATGCTAATGATTTCATTACATGCAGTTTTCATTACGTGCGTTTACATCTAACTTTAGGTGGGTCATCCTGACACAGTTTGGCCTACGCAAGGCCGCATCTGTGCTCCTTGCAGAAAGCATGGCATTATTTGTAGTAATTCATTTTTCTGAGTGTAGTACGCACCGTCACTGTAGTGCAGTGATGGCGGCGCTGAGATGAGAGGAGTGAGTCGTGGGTTCGAGCCTCGTGAAGCTCTGTTTATTTCTCGGTGTCGCTTGTGGTGTCGCTTAGTAGCCGTTGATGGGTGGTGCATCAGCATGGTCTTGTGTTGATGTACCTAAACTAACTCTGAGTACCGGTACTTGTTACCAGCAGGGTCTTAAAGTCTTGAGCATCTTAGGCGACAGTTGATATCCTGTATCTTCGTCAGGTTCAGTCCTGATCCTGATTTACGACAGCCAATACCCTATGTAGGTATTACCTATGATAATTTAAGTATTGCCTATGTAGGCTTTCCCTATGCAGATATTACCTATGTACACTGAGAGAAATGGGCGGGTCTGGATGACCCACTTTGATGAGTCAACCGCGTCCGAAAATCGATGCACTTTTTTGACTCACTTGCCCCATTTGTGGGTCATACTGACCCATTAAATTCGAGGCATGACTCACTTGTGACGTCAAATCCCTTATGACGCCACCCGTAGCATGGATACGTAGTTAGCATCTGGGCGTCAGAGCGATTTAACGCCACAAGTGAGTCATGCCTGGAATTTAATGGGTCAGTATGACCCACAAATGGGGCAAGTGAGTCAAAAAAGTGCATCGATTTTCGGACGCGGTTGACTCATCAAAGTGGGTCATCCAGACCCGCCCATTTCTCTCAGTGTAGGTATTACCCATGTAGGTATTACCTACAGGATATTAGGGTATTACCTACAGGGTATTAAGGTATTACCTACAGGGTATTAGGGTATTACCTACAGGGTATTAAGGTATTACCTACAGGGCATTAGGGTATTAGCTACAGGGTATTAGGGTATTACCTAACACCCCGTATCCTCGGCAGGGTTCAGACCTGACCCTGTCACTCTACCTGCCGAGCTCCAACACGTCACGTAACGTGCTGCTCTCCCTACACCGTCATGCTAAGCTCGCCCCCCTGGGGGGTACAGCCGCCCCCCTGGGGGGTACAGGTGCCCCACTCCCCCACCCCGCCCCCCACCCGCGGCCTGGGGCGCCCTGGCGCAACTTCTGCAAGCCGAGGTAGGCGCTCCAGTCGCCTTTATTGTTCTATTATTGATAGACGTGTATATTATATTTATTAATATATCGGTGATAACCGCTAATTATAATTAATTCATTAATATATTAATTAATAATAATATATATATTATTAATTAATATATTAATATCAGTGTTATTATGTGTGTACCATTAATATATCAGTGATATATGTTAATTATTTTATATTTATCAGTATATCAGTGATACACGCTAATTATATCATTTTCATATCAATGATGAACGTTTATTGCATTAATATTGTTAATTGTATCAATGAAGAAAGTATCTTATCATGCATTAATTTCTGCATGGGTCCGTAAAATGGTTTTGAATTTTTTTTTCTTAAGACTGAACGCTTTAGAGCTCCGACGCTCTCAATTCTTATGCTTTATTAGCACTAGTTCGGTTGAATCAATTAAGTTATGATTATTAAAATTTCTTCGTTTTGTCCAGTTATTTTTACAACATTTTTCTTTAGCTTCACTTCTTGTTGTTTGTTTGTCTGCTACAAATCTTATAATCGATATTTAGCATACTTCTACCTGCCCAATCGATCTGAAATTTGGCACACTTGCGTAAAGTTGGAGACAATGCATGAATCAATCGACAGAATAAATAATTTAAACAATGGAAAAAATTTTATATGTAAAAAATTTTTAAAAATATATTTTTAAATATTTGAAAATAAAATAAGATTCATTGTGCATTTAAACGCCTTCAAGAAGTAATTTTAATTTTTAATAATTTAAATATGCATTTAAAAAGTAATTTTTAAACGCAATAAAAAAAGTAATTTTAGTTTAATAATGTAACTATGCATTTAAAAGTAATTTTTAAATGTATTCAAATACTAATTTTAATTTAATAATTTAAATATACATTTGAAAAGTAATTTTAAAGGCACAATTTATCCGCGGTATGACAGTGAGGGCTGGATAGACTGCTGGACCGTCCCCCTCCTCACCCTGGGGGTGGGGTACACATATCACCCCGTGCCCCCCCTCGGCCCCTCCCCCCAGGCCGACATGTCCACCCCCGAGAAGGAGGAAATATTGTTGTCCCCCATCCGCGCCCCCCACCGGGGGTCAGCTCGCTCCCCCAGGCGGCCTCGTCTAGACGCTAAAGTAACATTTTTTCTTTAATGTTAATTATACTCTTGGAATAATTCTATCTTTTCCTGAGATGAAAATGATATATTTTATAGGTTTTATTTCTTACATGATCCAATCACGTATAAAAAATATTAGGTTAATACTTTCGAATAATCCTTTGTTTTCATGGATTAAAATGACTTATTTTATAGGTTTTATTTCTTATATGATAAAAGCACGTATAAAAATTATGCACTAATTGTAATTATGCTGCATAAAATATGTATATATGTGGTGCAGCAGATAATATATATATAAAATATGTATATATGTGGTGCAGCAGAGCAGCAGCAGCAGGGGGGCGTTCGACCCCCGCTCCCTGGCGCCCGATCAGTTCACCGTCGACCTCCTCATCGATCAGTCGTCCACCATCAAGTTATACGGTGCCGTGCTACGGCAGTTCCTTCATCTCAAGGTATTTATTTTATTTTAATATATTACATCATAATATTATATTATAGGTACCATAATAATATATTATATCATATTATAATATATCGACCAGTCGTCCACCATCAAGTTATACGGCGACGTGCTACGGCAGTTCGTTCATTTCAAGGTATTTATTTTATTATATTCAAATATATTACCTACATTATATTTTACTATAATATAATGTGATAGTAATATATATTATATCTTATTAATATATATTGATCAGTCAGTTCGATATATATCTATCCGTGCTAAGGCAGTTCGTTCATCATTATATTATATTACACCATATTATATTATACCATATTATATTATATTATATTATATTATATTATATTATACCATATTATATTATATTATATTATACCATATTATATCANTGAGGTTAGTCATGCTGAGGAGGCCATGAGGTTAGTCATGCTGAGGAGGCCATGAGGTTAGTTATGCTGAGGAGGCCATGAGGTTAGTCATGCTGAGGAGGCCATGAGGTTAGTCATTAATTTATTCGTCAGCAATGCTGCTTGAATTGACGGGACTTTTACTGGCCCATTTGATCTCGCTGTCCCTATTTATTTGGACAATATAACTCATTCTATTTTCTGAGTATCTATTTCGATCTCGCTGTACGTGCGTACGTTTGTAGTCTTAATAACTCAATCATAATAAATGAAGGGCTCATATTGTCCAAATAGGTACATTTTCTCATCCACAGCCTGATACTCCTTTTTGTCTGGAAAAATATCAGGGTGACAGGGTATAGAAATGCGTCTCTACTTGGACAATGTCTCACTCATTTCTCTTCTCGCGTAATAGTATAATATTTCTTCTATATAATATCCTCTATTTGGTCAATGTCTTAATTATTTCTCTTTGTGTCTTACGATCCCGCATGTTCGTGCAGACGGTCGTGGGAGTCCCTGCGTCATCCCCTACAGGAGGAGGAGGAGGAGGAGCCTCCTGACGAGCCTTTCGACTGTAGGAAGTACAGGCCCTTTGAGGTGAAGCTTCTTGTGCGCGTCAACCACGTCACCGGCCACCTCGTCAAGGTGGGTCAACAAATCATTGGCCTGAATTATTATCTATAATTACAATAATAATAATTGTTTGGCCGAATTATTATTGAATTGGCCCTAGAAAAAAATAGTTACTCTCGGTTCTATTATTCATGAAACTATTCATTTTCACCTCATTCACTACTAGTCTATGGTAAGGCACCGAGCAACTGGAATACTGCAGTACGATACCAGAACCTGTCAGGTGCCAAGCTCCCGACGGTTGCTGCCGGCAGTACTCCGGCGCCGGGGCTTCAGTCTTCGGTTCGGTTGTGCCCGTGCGCGGGATGGTCTTCCCGTGAAGAGCTTCGGCAGCGTGTCCTTCCCGTGAATGCATGAATTACATGAATATTCGGGGTCACGTCCCTCACTCCGATTGCCGAATTTAATCTGTAGCCTGTGGCTGAGTTCGTGCCCAAATCCCAGGGGGACGTTAATTAAGCCTTGCTCAAAAAGCGTCCGAGCTTGGTCGTTGGGTTGTTGAAAAGGTCCGAGCGTGGTCGTTGGGTTGTTGAAAAGGTCCGAGCGTGGTCGTTGGGTTGTTGAAAAGGTCCGAGCGTGGTCGTTGGGTTGTTGATAAGGTCCGAGCGTGGTCGTTGGGTTGTTGAAAAGATCCGAGCATCGTCGTTGGGTTGTTGAAAAGGTCCGAGCGTGGTCGTTGGGTTGTTGATAAGGTCCGAGCGTGGTCGTTGGGTTGTTGAAAAGATCCGAGCATCGTCGTTGGGTTGTTGAAAAGGTCCGAGCGTGGTCGTTGAGAAGTTTTCCCAGCGCCGGAGCGGAGCTACGGTGTGCTCTTGAGGCTTGCGTCGACCTTCGTATTTCACTTCGAGGACCACTGGCATAGTCACTCGCATACGGCATGCTGGTTAAACCAAAGCCTTAGCTCTGTCTCGCTGGACACTGTGCAACACACGCCTGCACTCTTGGATCCCGTGCCTAAGAGTACCCACACAGTGAAAGCAGGTTGCCAGCGTGCTGGTTACCTGCTGAGGCTGGCGCCTGAAATTGAAATAAATAGGCCTGGCGCTGGCCTATTCGTACAGGTTTTCACTGTAAAAACTTACATTATTATCCTATGTTCATTCTTGTGGCAGGTTGGAGCAGGATGCCCGCGCGGGCAAACCTGCTTTCACTGTGTGGGTACCCTATGACTGACTCCGGCCCACGGACCTACCGGCTTAACTGCCGGCAACCCGGCAACCTCCACAGCTAGCCCTAAATATTGAGTCTCCCACATCTTGCTATTTGCCAAGAAGAGTCGGTCTCATGATTTTTCATCAAGCTATTTTCCTAAATCTAATCTAATTAAAACCCGAATTACCTACGCTTATCTTCTATTTCTTACGCTTTACTTCTCAGGACTGCAACCCTACGGACGCGGCGTGCCCCGTACTGGTGATGGACTCACTGGTGTTTGAGATGCACAAACAATATCACGAGAACAAACTCCAGCTGCTGTTGTCGCCCATCATCCTCTACGCCCATCATCCCAGCGATGCCGTTTGTGACCAACAACATCCTTCCGATGCTGGCGGACGACATCCTTCCGATGCTGGCGGACGAAGCAGTGCCTCAGGTGAGGCTTCTATTTCATAGAAGTCGTCTTGATTTATTTTAATTTTCAAGTTTCATATATTCATCGCGATGAAAATATGTTTTCTGATTAGCTTTAATTTCCAAGTTTCGAACCTCCATCTAACTTCATATGCTGGCTGTTTCGCCTTGCTCCATTTTTCAGTCTGAATTTCCGTTTCGACTGAATCGCGAAGCGAAACTTTGATTATATTGACTGAATTACAATCAGGTTAAGGGAAAAGAGTTCTGTTAGGTAAGAACTTATGTGCTTTAGTTTCCGATAATTTCTAACGTTTATATTGCAGGCGTAGGTGTTTGTAAAACAACAGACCAGCCTCCTGGCAGCTCACGCAAACTCTCGACCGAACCAAAAACGAGTCACACGAACCTGGCTTTCTCATCTCACGGTAACCCTGCTAACGTACATCCTTCCTTACTGGACACATCCACTTTGAGCCACGGCAGCCACGTCTCCTCTAGTCATCCTAATCCTTCCCTGCCTAACCCTAACCACGATAATTCCACTACCAACATCGGTAACCTCAACACCACAACCACCAGCAACCCTAGTGCAACCAACACTAGCAACCCCGCGGGCAACATGAACTTACCGACTGCCGGGGTAACAGCTCCAGGCCACACCACGGAGCCCCACACGTCCTCCAGTCAGGGCAGCAGCAGCCACCGCGACTCCAGCTCCACGCCCCACACCACCACCGCCCACGCCGTCCACACACCGTCCCGCCATCCTTCTGGCTTTGTCATGCTGTCAGGTCTACAGGTGAGGTCCTTAAAGTGTAGGATGTCTTTACGCCGTCCCGCCATCCTTCTGGCTTTGTCATGCTGTATTGGTCTGCAGGTGAGGTCCTTACAGTGTAGGATGTCTTTACGTCGTCCCGCCATCCTTCTGGCTTTGTCATGCTGTATTGGTCTGCAGGTGAGGTCCTTACAGTGTAGGATGTCTTTACGTCGTCCCGCCATCCTTCTGGCTAATTGCATCCTGCTCCAAACTTACTGGTATTGGGCAGGCATGCTTTAGCCTGTTCTAATCCTGCTTCTAGCCTGCTGGTATTGGGCAGGCATGCCCGATCCTGCTCTAATCTTGCTCCAAACCTCCTGGTATTGGGCAGGCATGCCCGATCCTGCTCTAATCTTGCTCCAAACCTGCTGGTATTGGGCAGACATGCCCGATATTGCTCTAAACCTGCTGGAAACTTGCTCTGTTGCTTCCAGTCCTGCTTAGAACTCTCACTGGAATTCCGATGATTTTTTCTGATCAAATGTGCGAGTACGCAATGTCGTAAATAAGATGACGCGTGCGTTATATTGCCGGTACTAAAATACCAGTCACCATATCAATCACCATACCAGTCACCACACCAGTCACCACACCAGTGATACCAGTCACTAGTCACCATAAATCTTCTCGTGATCAGATGCGTGGGCACGCGATGTTCAGCAGCAGCGGCCGGAGTCTGGACGAGGAGACGCTCGAGTATGCCTGGCTCGTCGAGCTCATCGTCGGCTCTCTCTCTGGCAAGCTCACCGCCCCTCAGGTGACGCGTACTTCGCTCCCTGTACAGTTGTTGCCAGCTCTTCAACTCGCTTCGCTTTAATTCTTTAGTTTCTCTGGGGCCGTATTATCAATAATAGTTTCGGATTTGTAACTCCATTAGCCAATCATTGACGGCTTTATAAATTGAACCCACCAATGGTAGATGAGAAATCAACCGATTCATGTGCTTGGGCCGCTACGTGTACTCGAGCAAGTTCTGAAGGTACGGCCACTTGTGCACAAAGTAGCAAAGATTGTTTCTCTCTATGTGTTCAATTGACTGAAATATTTAAAATTATTTTGACATGCAGTTTGTTCCTATATAGTATCGTAGATGTCTAATATTTATTAATGTGAATCCCTGATAATATGTAAATACGTTACCTTTCTGTTCAATTTGCAGCTTCAGAACATAGTAACGGGCGTGGAAACGTTCTTGCTGACGGCTACAGACAGCGAGAATTGCCTTAGACCATCTAGACCGCACCTGCTGTGTCATCATGGCCGCCCCCAGACCGAGTGTCCCGTTGGTCTGTCAGACAAGCATCCTGAGGCTCCAGAGGGCGGGACCACACCATGTGGGACGCCCTTTGGAAATCCCGAGACTTGCAGAACTCCTGTGGGCAAGCCTATGGACAACAAGACTTCCCTCATCCCTTCTTCTTCTGCGGGTACGAGCAAAGGCTCTGCCGGGGTTGGGACTCCAAAAGTCCCCTTGACCCCAAAAGTCCCCGTCACTCCAAAGGTCCCTTTGACTCCAAAAGTCCCCGTGACTCCAAAGGTTCCCGTGACTCCAAAAGTCCCATTGACGCCCTCAGCTGACACCAGCATATCTGGCGTCACCGCCCTCAGGAGGGGCGTGTCCCACTACTACCAACAACAGCGATCCAAACCTGCGGGTCCTGACAAAAAGTCCCTACCACCAAAGAAGAAGAGTGGAGGACCATCGTACGAACCATCGTCGAACGAAGGGAAGTTCGGACCAGAATCTGGACCCACTTCAGACGAGCCCAAGACTGAAGACGGTGAGAAGAGCCATCGCAAGCCCAACTATTGTCCTTCAGTGGACACCATCAAGTACAGGATGGTCCGTGCCAGCATCGATGCTGTGCACCTGCATCTTGTTGACCAGTCCGTGGACATCAGCTTGCAGGTGCTTGTGTGAATCACGAATTATGCATTTGAAGTATGAAGTATACATTTGAAGTGTGAAGTATGCATTTGAAGTATGAAGAATGCATTTAAAGGTATGAAGTATGCATTTGAAGTATGAAGTATACATTTGAAGTATGAAGTATGCATTTGAAGTATGAAGTATACATTTGAAGTATGAAGTATGCATTTGAAGTATGAAGAATGCATTTGAAGTATGAACAATGCATTTATATTTTGCATTGCACGGCAGGCTTACCCCATCCGCATAGCGACCTGCAACCTGCACGGCGAGCACGCGCAGGCCGGCGTCACGGCCTTCGTACAGACCGTCCGCATCCGCAATTTTGTGTCGGATTATCCGGCCTCTTCCCAGCACACGCTCCGGGGCGCCAGCGCAGCTCCTGGTCTGATCATAATATAATATAATATAATAATATAATTTTATGTCATCATATTATTATAGTTTATTTTTTATTTTATTATATTTTATGATTATATATTAATATAATATAATTTTATATTGTAATAACATAATAATATTATAAGCTAAAAAATATAATGGTGCTAGCTTTGACTAGGCCATATTATCCCGTCGCTGACAAAGCCATCGCCACCCGACCTTCTATGGGTTTCACCTGACTCACGTTTCACCTGACTCACGTTTCACCTGACTCACGTTTCACCTGACTCACGTTTCATCTGACTCACGTTTCACCTGACTCACGTTTCACCTGACTCACGTTTCACCTGACTCACGTTTCACCTGACTCACGTTTCACCAGACCCACGTTTCACCTGACTCACGTTTCACCTCAGGTTACCTGAACTCCAGCGCGGGGGGCGGCAGCTCCCACAGCTCCACCACCGCGGGCCGCGGGTCCGCTACGGCAGACCCCGACTCCGGGGCCCCGGTCATTCCGGGCCACGGCGGCAGCCACTCGTCCGGACCCCTCAGAGAGCCCGGTCAGTCACGGACGTTATTATTACTCTTATTACTATTGTAACTACTATTTATTACCATTAATTTAATCATTATCATTATTACTCATACTATAATTGTAAATACTTTTTATTACCATTATTTTCATCTTTATCATTATTACTGTTATTACAATATTAAATACTATTTATTACCATTATTTTCATCATTATAAGGGTTATAATTATTGTTATTATCATGGTTGTTGCCTGATTCTTCTTCAGCATATTTCCAGAGAGATTCATTTTACGCTGTTCGTTTTATCAATTTATTTTCATTCCCAAGCGTACAAACATTTTAAAACGCCATCTCTGAATTATCCATAGTAACATTAATAAAAATCATATTGCTATAGTCCGATATTTCTTAATCTGTACCACGTTAAAGATTAATCTTTCGCTCTATGTCCGCTGAGAATACCAAACATTTACTAATATCAATACCAGGATTACCAAACATTTAATCCGCGATACGGACTCCAACGTGAATAATTAAAGCTTAGATGACAGAAAGACTTTGTGGATTTGAGTTATAATAACAGTAGTAATAATGGTTATTATAGTGTCACCTCTCGTGCAGCGGCTGGCGAGGTGTGGCTGGAGGTGGGTTCGGTCTTGTTGGCTCCTCTTTTTATATACTTGCGGTTTTAATTCACGATTTATATTCCGCGCTATCTAATATTCATGAAGCATTTAAATTTTATTTATAAAACTGAATAAATTAGCATTAACATTGCCGCCTCTCCTGCAGCGGGTGGGGAGGTGTGGCTGGAGGTGGGCTCCATCTCCCTCGGCCCGCTGTTCCTGGACGCGGCCGTGAACTCTGACGTGCAGCACACCGACGTCCATACGCTCCAAAGGAGCTTCCTTACCATGCATGACCACCAGCAGCGCTCCCTATGGTTCCTATGGACCAGCGAGTGTAAGTCCTACAGCAGCGCTCCCTATGGTTCCTATGGACCAGTGAGTGTAAGTCCTCCAGCAGCGCTCCCTATGGTTCCTATGGACCAGCGAGTGTAAGTCCTACAGCAGCGCTCCCTATGGTTCCTATGGACCAGCGAGTGTAAGTCCTACAGCAGCGCTCCCTATGGTTCCTATGGACCAGTGAGTGTAAGTCCTCCAGCAGTTCTCCCTATGGTTCCTATGGACCAGTGAGTGTAAGTCCTCCAGCAGTTCTCCCTATGGTTCCTATGGACCAGTGAGTGTAAGTCCTCCAGCAGTTCTCCCTATGGTTCCTATGGACCAGTGAGTGTAAGTCCTCCAGCAGTTCTCCCTATGGTTCCTATGGACCAGCAAGTATAAGTTTCTCCCTATTATTATTACATTAACATACATTATTCATCAATACACGTATGCCAAATCTTCTATGCATTAATTTTCATTACCATTCTCTTATCCTGATCTCTCCATAGAGAATCAATCTGTCCTTAACCTTCATAATTTCACTCTTCAATTTTCTTGATCCTGATTTCCTGATTTCTGTATTGAGAATCAAGTGACTTTTAACCTTGATTTTCCCCTCCTCGCTCTCACGCGCCACTTCCTTTAACAGCGAACTCCCCGCAACCTGGGAGCTCAAAGCACCCAGCACAGCCCCTCTCTAGCCCCAAGGGGCGCTGCGGGTGTGTGGGAGGCTGCGCCTTCTTCGGGTCAAACCGCAACGGCTTGCGGTTCTTCAAGTTCAGCCGCCAGGATATCATCGAAGGTTATAATGTTGCCCAATTCAGGATCAGTGGTCCCGAAGAAGATCTTGGGTACTGTCAGAGTTTACTGAACACTCGAGAGCTTGTGTTCAATGCGGGTAACTACACTAAACTTGTTGTACCGCATTACGACCTCGGCGCCGGTGACCGCGCACGTGTCAAGTATAGTTTAAGTGCTGGATATGGCAGAGGTGGCAACTCCTCTCCGTTGCCATCAAGTTTCCCTGATATTGACATCCGACGTGCGAGCAAAGTAAGGCCCCACATGTCCCAGTCCAGTAGCTACACACGTCAACTCTCGCAGACTGTGCCACGTACAGAACATCAGTTCCTCTCACTAGGCAGGAACTCCGCGGCGCTAAAAGTTCCCAATTCCCGGGAAATTTCACCAGGAAGCTTGTCAGATTTAAGAGCTGACCAATACGGCAGCAACGCGGCAGCTCGAGAAAGTCGCATGCCGTCGAGCTTGTCCCTACAGACCGAGCTCCCGCTGCACGCCTCGTCGTCCGTCAGTCCGTCCTGTACTCCGCACAGGAAAAATGAACTTGTTGATATGCGGGCAAAATTCAGCGCAGATTCTCAGCACAGCGTGGAGGGCAGCGAGAGTTTCAGCGCCCGCGTTCAGCGCACCATTTCCCTGGGCAGCGAAGCTCTCAGCGAGGCTTTCTACTCCGCCGATGAAGACCAGGTAAGTTTGTATGGCATGTGAAAACCTGTTTTATTTGTTTATCCTGAATTACATACGAAGTTATTATATCAGTATTATCACTATGCATAAGTGTTACGCTTGTCCACACCGCAGTGGCGGCCAGTACAATTTCCGAATACTAACAGGCACTATTTACCGTACTATTGTGTTCCTGTATGGGCGCTACTGGCCACGGAAGGGCCCAGTACCCCTGTATATGAAGCCAGTAGCATGACAATTAGTGGTTGTTTGTATCTGAAATTTATACTGGCCGCCACTACTTGCTCCATGTACAAAAAACTTATGGATCACAGTTGTCTTTAGTTGAAATAAGTCATTTTGTCACTAATTCTTCACTGCAGGAAACTTAAAACTTGAATAATTTTATTTGAGCAGCAGAGCCTCGCTGGTGCCCCTCGACAAAGCTCCCTCTCCCCCTCCTCCTCCCTGCTCAGTATGCCCACGCTCCCCCAACACCCACTGGGGGGACTCTCTGCTCCCCACAACTCCTCATCCTCCAGCTCCCCATACTACGCTGCCCCCTCCCACTACAGCCCACACTCGTCTCAGTTCGCTTCCCCCTTGCCATCTCCTCTCTACCGACGACCACATCCCCTCTCACGACAGTCCTCAACCACATCCCCTCCTGTTCACCCCCACACCGACTCTCCCCCCACGTCCCCACCCACCGCTCACCACACCGACTCCTTTGCTGACGCCACCATCAGTCCGGGCTCGTTCGATTCCAGGTACTTACAGCTATTATCAATTAATTTCACATTTCATTCTTCAAATATTCAAGTTTTTAATTCTTATAATGTTTGACCTATTCTTGATTCCTATTGAAAGGTCTCGCTAGCTTTAACAAAATTTAGGTATCGCCTAGGCTTCTGCACAAAAGTCGCTACATTCTGTGTTACGTTATTCTGGGTCGACGACACGATCAAAATCAGCTTCTGGCCAAAATTTCCTTAGCGAATAAATAGAACATGGCAGTATGACAAGTTTGACTTGCATGGGAGAATGGCAAGGGTTGGCCGAGCCTTGTCATGCCAGCTGCCCAGAGGCTTTTCTTCAATCCGTGACCAGAAGCTGATTTACGTGCTCCCGAGTCCTGGGCGGTACCTGTTGCCGAATCTGGCATGCATCTAAATTTTGCGGGAAAGTAACGAATAGGAATTTTCTGCTCATGTTGTTTGATTTTTGATCTCTATTCTCATTATGTAGAACTACAATGTTGAAATTTTACATTTCCCCTTCATTTGCAGTCAATATTATGGAAGTGTAGGAGTGGACAGCCCAACATTCGTCACCTCGCCTGGTCACAACCGTTCACACCGCAACAGCAACAGTAGCAGCAGTAGCAGCAGCAGTAGTAACAGTAGTAGTAACAGCAGCAGCAGTAACAGCAACAGAGGTCACGATATGTTCCTTCATGCTAAACAGACCAGCACACAGACCTCAGGACCTGGTCTATTGGCCGCTGCTACTGATGGTCTTAGCAGCAGTAGGACGATGTTACTGTGTCACAGTGACTCAGATCTCTCAGTGGCCGATGAGCCGCAGCTTCACCGAACTGCTTTCCAACACGAAACGAAGTCTCACAGACACTACGATAGTGACCATTTATCGGAAATTGGAAGCATCTCGAGCACATCTTTCCTGTCTGCCGTCTCGTCACAGGAGGATATGGCGCTTGTAGATCTCCAAGTGCAGCTAAACAAACCAATTATTGACTGTCCATTGCTCCTTCCTTCGTACAAGAACCACATGACTCAGTTACGCTGCGTCAACTGGAACTGCGGGGTGCCATCTTTCAGCGGCGACGAGCGGTTTGGGAGCAGCGGCATGGCTCCCCAAGGGGACCTTTACACTCCCAACTTCGAGAAACTCAGTGAAGGATTTACTGCCATAAGGATGGTTGAGACCTCTGATTGGTTATCACGTCAACACAGTCAAGATCCCTGTGACGTATGTGGACCGAGTTATCAATCCGGGGAGCCACTTCACACTCCGTCCCATCCGTACGCCCCTCCTCTCTTCTCCTTCACCGACGAGGACGACGACAGCTGCTCCAAGGAGGCCGCTGAGGTTCGTCTCATTTACTTCGTTCTTTAAAAATTTTATTCCTTCGGTACTCGTAAGCTGCACTCGGAAAAATTAAGTACCGTCAACTGAGGTGACTTCGGCCACACCTACAACAGGAGCAAATGACAGCAAAACAAAATAATTAATGTTGGCCAAAGTGACTGGGGTTACTTTGGCTACAGGGGTGACTTTGGCCACCGGGGTGACTTTGGCCAACTTTTATTATTTTGTTTTGCTGCCATTTGCTTCTGTTGTAGGTGTGGCCGAAGTCACCCCGGGTGGCTGAAGTCACTCCATGCAGTTGACGGTAATCATTTTGTCCAAATGTTGTGACACACTTTTTTACCCACGCACAGCATGAGCAGAGAGCAGACGTAGCACTGATACTCCCTTTTGTCGGGATATGCTGGGTCAGCATGACACACACAAGGGCAATAAAAGCATCGATAATTGCACAAAGTCCCATCCATTCCTTCGAGTGTGACGAGGTTTAATTAAATCTTGGCATTCATTTCAGTTCACGCTACAATCGAAACTGATGCGCGTTTAAATAAATAATTTCACTCTATATACCATTAGTAATATTCAAGTAATTAATTCTCAACGCATTAATTGTGAGTAATAAAACTTATATAATAACTTGACGGTAGGCGGAGAGCTCAGCAGTTGTAGGCGGGTGCGGGCTTGTGTCAGCCACGAGCACGACGCTCGTCATCAAGCTGTACAAGGACGTCAACATCGCACTGTCTCCCCTCGGTGTAGAGTCCGTCCATCAGCTCCTCGAGGTAATCTTTTTATTCATTTATTTAGTCATTTATTATTTATTTATATATTTATTTATTTATTATTTATATAATCTATTACCGCTATATTCACTTCTAAGGTAAATATAACAGGACTTCCGTCCGTTGACTAGTAAAGTTGTAATTTCGTTACCTTTGCTGAAATATTTTACTTTACTTCGTTGATTTCTTCAATAATTTTTCAGCAAGGTTGCAAAGGATAGGTAATACAGCCCGACGCAAAAGGTTAGCCCCACCCCTTTAAAACATCATGACACATCGAGTTTTGCGAGTTTTATTGTGCAAATGGTGGCAAACGAATCGTCTTGGTCTCAGTAATCAAAATACAATAGACTGTAGTGAAAATGTAATTAGTAACGGAGAAAATGAAAAAGACATGTTTTTGCACCGACGCAAAAGGTTAGCCCCACTTTGTACATTTTGACATTTTAGGCAAAACAAAACATACGTCAGCTGCAAAACTAAAGTTTATTTACCGATATGCTCTCGGTTGACTTTGTAGACATCCAAGCACCGCTTTTCCATGCCCTGAGACAATCTACGGAGGTAGTTGGGTTCAGATTGGACCAGGCGGCTTGAATGGCCAACTCGAGTTTTTCCTTCGTGTCATACTGCTTCCCGCAGGCGTAGACGATCCCAGCTATGTACCCCCAGACGTTTTCAATGGGATTCAGATCGGGGGACTTGGCTGGCCAGTCCATAACCCGGATTTTGGCACGCTTGAAGAAGGCCTTGGTCGTGCGCGCCGTATGGATTGAGGCATTATCTTGTTGGAAGATGGCGCTGCGGCGAATTTGGTGGCGGATGACGGGAAGTAGATGGTCCTCGAGCGTTTGGACATAGTCGTCCGCGCACTGGTTGCTTTCGAGGAAGACGAGTCTGCTCGTCCCGTTTGCATGAAAGGCCCCCCACACCATTACTCTGCCCCCGCCATTTTGGCGGCTAAAAGCTGCCTTCGGATCATTCCTGCGGCAATGCCAGTAGTACTTCAGACCATCTGGGCCATCCAAATTCCATTTCTTCTCATCAGAGAAGATGGTTTTGGCCCAGGTGTCATCACTAGTACTTGCATATATACTTTGTGCCCCAGGCGATCCTGGCATGCTTGTGAGCCTCGGTCAATTGAGGGGCCTTGTTCATCTTCACGTATTGGAAGATGCCGGAGGACGCGAGGGTGCGAGAGACGGTAGACTTGGAGACATTGAGCTCCAACTTTTGGACTAGTTTGGGCGCGCTCAAGTCGCCGGGCGCCGCAACTCGGAAGAGGCCACGCGTGTCACGGGCCGACATCTTCTTGGGGCGGCCTTTGGTGTGCCGCTTTCCGTAGTTCACGGGGTCCTTGAGATAGTTGGAGATGGCTTTGCGGCTACACCCCACTTGTGCCTCCATTCGACGCCAGCTAGGACGCTCGCCCTCAGGCAGCGCCATCAGGGCTTGAATGCCACATTTCTGAAACTCAGTTAGAGGCTTTCCCGCGGCCATTTCTTGCCTAGGTGAGCATAAGATCCGTGCACAACTAATACGCTATGAACGCACCCTTTGCAGCGAGTCTACGCTGCGTCCTGTCCGCAAGAGCGCCAAACTTGCAAAGTGGGGCTAACCTTTTGCGTCGGTGCAAAAAACACGAACCACTTGATTTTTCCTGCAGTAATTAACTTTTTCACCAAATTTCACCTGCTATAGATTGCAGAGCGCAAGACAAATCGTTTGCCACCATTTGCACGTTAAAACTGGCTAAACTCGATGTGTTATGATGTTTTAAAGGGGTGGGGCTAACCTTTTGCGTCGGGCTGTAATAACCCTCATTTTTACAGTCGTTGCGAGGGGTGTATTTAATCTATTACCCTTATATTCAATTCTTAGGTCTTGTTAACTTTCATCCGTTGACTTATTAAATTGTAATTTCGTAACCTTTGCTGAAGAGTTTTTAGCGCATTTTCTCATTTATGGAAAAAATGCACTATTGTGCTCGCCATGTCCGTCTGTCTGTCCGTCCGTCCGTGACCTCAAGTTTTCGTCGACGAGAAAATGCGCTCTCTGTCACTCACTGCAGTGAGTACTGAGTTATATTTTTTTACTTTATTTCGTTGATCCTTTCAATAATTTTTCAGCAAATAGGCAAGGGATAGGTAATAATGGCCCTAATTTTGCAGTCGTTGCGAGGGGAGTATCTAATCTATTACCGTTATATTCAATCTTGAGGTCTTGTTAACTTTCGTCCGTTGACTAAAAAAGTTGTAATTTCGTTACCTTTGCTGAAATGTTTTTTACTTTATTTCGTTAATTTCTTCAATAAAATTTTCAGCAAATTGGCAAAGTATAGGTAATAATCACCTTAATTTTTGCAGTCATTGCGAGGTGTGCTGGAGAGCCTGCACCCAATGACCATCATTAATCAGGCGCACCAACATTCCATTGCTACTGTCGAGGCCAAGAACACGCTTAAGAAGGAGCGGTACATGTACTGGTCCAGGTATGTTATGTTAACAGTTCATGTTTATCTCTTTTGTCAAATACTTTACGTATAAATTTTCTGGTTAAGGCTTTCTTCATAGTTAGGTTCTATTCTACCATCATCAGTTAACTTCATTGTTGTATATTTTATTAAGAATTTTATTACCAAGAGAACACAATTTTTTTAAAGATATTTAACTTGTCACCGGCCAGAGCTATACTTGCTACAAGTCAATCTGAACGTTAGGCTTGTAATTCACTATCAGGATCGAATGCTCACCGCTCACAGGCCAGAACAATGAATAAATAATTTCCAGGCTACTGTGCTCATTCATCCAAATTCTAACCTACAATGCCGTTCAAATCTCCCAGTCATAGTTAAAGCCGGTTCAGTGGCCAGGGAATATAATCACGACAAAACACACTTAAAATAGTTTATTGACTACTTTGCTTAAAATTAGTAAAAGATGGTAAAGGTAAAGCACAAATTCCGACTAAAATAACTATTATAAGAGACTTTCAATTCTATTCACTATTGCACAACATTAATGCACGTAGTTTAGGTTACGTTAATTCGCATAGGCGAACGATAGCAGGTAAGACTAAGTCCTCACGGCACAGCCACAACTCCAGCGTTAAGCACAGAATGCTGAAAGTTAACACAGCTGAGCGGGTTCAGGTATGAACCTCACTGTAGGGCTGGCGGGACACGACTGAATACCTGACGCACAGACGCTCAGACCTGACCTAGTACTACACAGTTCCAACTGCTATAGGTCTGACTCACATGTCACTGGCGCAGCTTCGCCAGACGTAATGGAATAATTTCGCCAGAATGAACAAAAATGCATATGGGAACAAATGATCGCATCAATCGAATAATGAATATAAGTGAACTATGTTTATCGTTCACAAACTTAAAAGTTTTTAATTGTTTTTTGAATTGAGAACACAATTTTTCTCATAAATAATGATAATTCCTGCCATGAGCAGCATGAGGGACTTGCAGCTATCGTCATCATCGTCGACGTCACCTCGTGGTGGCCCACTCGCCCCCTGGCGGGAGGACGACCACGTGACTCCGGGGGGCGGTAACCCCCCCCAGCAGCAGCAGCCGTCCTTCGTGACGTCAACGTACAGGGAGAGCTGCTACCAGCGACTACAGGGACAGCTTTCTATACCCAGGGTGAAACTATTTACATTTTTAAAGCTCTTTACATGTTGAAATATGTGGTTCTTGGTGTAAGAACTACGTGTTCCAAATAGCTATCTTCATCTTTGATGTAGGAACTACCTACATGTTTTATGAAGCTATCTACACCGCTAACATGACGCTACAAGTTTCATTATTGTTTTTCTGAGAATTAATATCACCTTGTAAATTTATTTTTTTCTTGAAATAGATAAAATAGATCTCAGTAGAAAGGAAGTATCACATTTGACGTTATTTTCGGCACAGGTGAACATGACGCTGCTGCAAGCCTCGGTGGTGGAGGCCGTCATATCCTTCTCTGCCCTGGAGAACACCAAGGACCTGACGTGCGTATCCCTCGTGTCGGTGTGTCTGGACGATGTGAACCTGCGGTTCTCCACGGGGCAACACTCGAACCGCTCCGTGCAGATCGTGCAGCGGCCGCCAAAGCTTCCTGGCAAGCAAAAGAAGCGCCGTAAAGCCAAGAACCGCCAGGCGGTTGAAATTCTCTCTCAGCCCGTCTACATCGAACGCTGCGTGAAGCAGCGTGAGGAAAATATGATGTCCATTAACATCGGTCGCTCACACGCTCAGTTACGAAGGCTGCAGAACGAAAGCACACTGCTGCAGGATGCCGACATCACTGCTATACCCAAGCATCGTTCCAAGGTGCTGTTCTCGTACCAACGATGTTGCAAGGCTGAGAAAGAGAACTTCATGGACTCTCACTTGGGTGCTGGTAAGATGGGCTTCATTATGTTCGAGGCTGGACTCGAGAAGATCGCTCTTAAAGCTATCAAACGCAAGGGATTTGGAGCTACGCAAGCCAAGAAAGAAGACAATGAGAAAGAAAATAATGCCGAAGATAAAAATGGCAACACTGTTGATGATGATCAAGATAACGCCAGTACCAGCGACAACCTGAGTTCTCCTAGCACGACCATCGATGCTAAAGCGGCAAAGAACTTGTCGCGCAGTGGTAGTCAGGATCTCGGTAGTAACGAACACGTTGATGGTGGTAGCAATAGTAGCTGCGCTTCCTTCAAGGTTGGACCAGCCGACGACGTGAGCAGCGTTGGTTATTCAGGAGGCAGTGAGGAGAGCGGAGGTAGCGGCAAAGATGACAAGGAAGAAACAACAGGGAAAGCTTCCACTGATGAACCAAGGAAGAGAAAATCAACAGTTTTGACTCCTCCACCTGATAACTCCGCGCATGAAGATGCTCCTAAACCTTCTGATGATCACTCAAAAGAGGAACATCCTGTGAACGACGAGGAGGATAATGTTAGCAAAAGCGCGAGTGTTAAAGCCTGCAAAAAAGACATCACTTCATTTTCTGGTGAAATCAGAAGTGTGTGGCTGAACTTTGCCGCCCCTCCTCACACTCCCATCACTCGCAAAATAGACTACACTCGCCTCGACTGGAACCTCCTGAGCACAGCCAGTCCCAGCATCGACGCTTGGATGAACCCAACTGACCGACTCACAGTCGCCGCGGGTCTCTGTCTGCACAACGCAGAGATGCGTCGTCTCGCCGTCATTGCGTCACTCATGACTGACGCTCTGGAAGTGCCCAGCATCCACGTGCCTGACAAGCCTCGGTACTGGAAAGTCCAGCCTGTTAGTCAGACTCTCCTCGAGGATCCATCTTGTCAGCTCTGTAACGTCCTCAGGAGGTATCTCTTGCTCCCCCACAAGCTCGAAGACCTGGAAGCTAATTTATCGCCAACGTTTTTACCTAAACTGGCAACGCTTAGACAAGCAATCATTGTACTAAGCCGCCAGTGGAAGAACGTTTTGTACATTCCATCTCTCATGGAGAGGACTGTCAGGCATCAGCAGCCAGGTAAAACTCACGTCAAATTCCGGATTGCACCTCGAAGTTCTGTTACAAATGCGCCGGTCTCTCGGTCTGCCTCTGCCACCTTGAACCAAGAACCGAGGTCCCCCGGCACCGTACCACCACATGGTTGTTTGAAGCCTACCGTCGATGTGACCACCAAGGAAGGTGAGGGCCGAGCTCTTGCTGGCAGTGCAATGAGCAGCGCTGCAGGCGAGGACATCACGGACGCCGCATTCAGCAGCGGCTCCACTCAACTGCCACCAAAACCTGCGCTTCCTTCGTACCCAATGACGTCATCTCGCGCGTCCGTTGTGTTTCCTATCCGCTCTCCTCATGTTACGTTCAACCTTCCCAAACTTTCGGCGGTCACACCAAATTTGAGCTTCTTTAAGACCAAGTCGCCGCCTCCTGCTCCAGTACCCAGAGTTCCTCCACCCCGGCCTCCTCCCGCGCGTCGCACGGGACCTGCCCAACAGTCTGCTGAAACTGGCCCGCTTTTGTATCCCAATCTGAGAAGACAGGACTCAGATGACGAAGAATCTAGTGACAATGAGATATACGTTAATGAAGGATCGCCTTCCTTTACTGACAAAAACAACGACCTCTACAATTGGATGGCCAATCAGGAAGACTGTAAGCACCAAGCACCCGACGTTTCCTTCACCACTGAGGACTTTTTGCCCCCGATGCATTCGCCGCATGAGCCCTCAGATTTTCCGGTTTTCTCGGAGGGTGAGGGCAACGAGTCTCCTCAAGAGATGTCACAAGGAGACCAGTTCTTCGCTGCTCATATAATCTTCGCTCCACTGCTCGCTAGCATCGGCGTGCAGACGCAGCAAGCTCCTGCTCGCGCCCTTGAACAACTTGGCCCCAACGTTTGCGTTCTCGCCATGGTTGAAGCCTTGCGCGTTCACATCGTCGAGAGTGAAATAAAGTCGGGATCTGTGCCATCACATTCAAAGAGCCAGTCTGATTTGCCTGCTTTCGTGTGCCAAAAAGCTGGGTTAGATTTGGACGTTAGCAAGATGGCAGACAATAGTTGGTCGGGCCCAGCTTTGTTTGTGTCACGTTCCGCCCTCAAGCGACATATGTCGACTTTGGTCAAGTTCAGCCTGGACATCAGCTATGTGTCACAGCAAGTGAACATGCCCCTTCTGCGACTTCTTCATCAGATCACCAGCATGTATAAGAACGCAAAGCAGACTCAGAAAGGCCTGAGAGACAAACGGCCAGGCGCTTTGCATGGTCTCAACTCGTCAATGCTTCCTCATTATCATTCAGAAATATTCCAAGAGCAGCGATATCAGCCCCCCAGCACAAGCAGCATCAGTGAAGACCAAGAACGCGCAACCCTCTCGTCTCTTGGTGGTAAGTTAGACCAGCGAGGCTCTGTAGGATCTTCTGTTTCGCTGCGTGCGACTCCCCCTCTTCCTCCTCTTGTGGGTCTCTCCACCGTGTCTGAAGCCTCTGTGATGACATCGCGCCCCAACTCCCCTGTACCTCCCCCAGCCCCATCCACCTCCTCTAATGTTTCATCCAACACCAAACTTGGGCGTCCTCAGAGTTTCGCTCAGCGTCTCAGATCTTCAACTAAGCTCGGTAAAGGATACATGAATTTCGGGCTGGACCGCTCCACTCACAGCCCCTTACTAGGTCTGCACATCACCAGCTCTGGTGGCGATGGGGCAAACGTTGGCCCTGAAAAATCGCCTCTCTTGCCCTTATCTGATGTTCCTCCGTTAACACCAACTGCCCCTACGGTGCCCAGCACACCGCGGTGTTGGCGTAACGTTTACTGCCTCCTCGACTTGTACACAACCACTCCCGAGACCAAGACCTTGAGCCAAGCCGCTGCGAGCAGACGCTATTACAAAGATCACAAGCCTGGTGAACCTGATGCTGCCATGGACGCCAACGAAGATGCTAGCGTGCCTCTAGTCACTGACCGCATCCAGATTCTGATTGAAGGGGAAAGAACTCCTCTTGTTGTTCTGGGTGTTGCTAAAATTCATCGCACTCGACTTCTAGCGTCACTGAGCGGTCTCAAACTCGAGGCTCAGATGACAGGCCTGCAGTCTTCCTTGACTTACAAAGAGAAAATTCGCGAGGAGAACAGCAACACGGAGCTGAGCGTCACTGGACAGGTGGACACGAGCAGCATCGTGCTGCTGGAGGGCAACCCGCAGCAGACGGTCGTGCGGGTGGCCATCGCTCGGTCGCAGGCGCTCTACTCCAGCGTCCTGCGCAAGGCTAAGGAGAGGAACTCGGCCCTCATTAGTATAGGTGAGCACTGCAATGTTACCTTGAAACTATGCTTATATTTGAACATACTTAGTTATCTTGTCTTAATTATTACCCGGATGTGATTTATATTGGTGCTTTTTTCCATATTCCAAATATTCCAGTCATATATTCCAAATATTCCCGTCTGTGTAGAAAATGTGTTATGCGTATGTATTTTCATTTTGCAAAGTTTTATTGCGATTATTTCATTTGTATCTATTTTTTGTATGTCTATTCTTAATTCGTGAAAATAAATTTATTGATAAAGAATTTAAAATCTAATACGAGTTTGTTCGCTAATCATTTCTGGCTGAAGGCGACATCGAGGTGCGCATCCCGCAACACCCCGTCATCCTGCACGACATGATGACCCGCGGCACCAAGCAACTCTCGTCCACCCTTCAGGAGCTACGGGTCGCTAGACCCGCTCCAAGACTCAGCCGCGCTGCAACCGTCGACGACCCGGACGCTTCCCCCCGCCCTTACCACAGCACCCAGACCCCCTGCTTCCCTCCACCTCTACACGAGGAACCTTCCTTGCACGAGCAACAACAACCTTCCTCGTCAGCAGTACACGACGACCACCTCATGTCTGCTGCAGCAGCAGGAGGAGGAGGAGGGCAGAAATCTCCTCTCCTGCAGCCGCTGGTGGTGCGGTTCTCGCTGGTGCTGCAGAGCGTGTGCGTGCAGGCCGCTCTGCTGCCGTCCCTGCAGGCGCAGTATCGTATGGAGCAGCTCACGTGTCGGGGCGTTACGGGCTCCAAGGCCAAGTTTACGGCTCATCTCCCGTCACATAAACTCTCCTTCTCCACCAAACTCCAGGACCTGGTGAGTGGACTGTCCCGTGAACTGTAGGACTTGGTGAGTGGACCGTTCCCTTGAACTGCAGGACTTGGTGAGTGGACCGTCCCATGAACTGTAGGACTTGGTGAGTGGACCGTCACGTGAACTCCAGGACCTGGTGAGTGGACCGTCCCTCAGGACTTGGTGAGTGGACCGTCCCGTGTACTGTAGGACCTGGTGAGTGGACCGTCCCGTGAACTCCAGGACCTGGTGAGTGGACCGTCACGTGAACTCCAGGACCTGGTGAGTGGACCGTCCCAAAAAGTGTGGGTCGTAAGTGGGCCGTTCTCTTCAACTGTAGGACTTGGTGAGTGGACCTTCCCGTGAACTGCAGGATTTGGTGAGTGGACCTTCCCGTGAACTGCAGGATTTGGTGAGTGGACCTTCCCGTGAACTGCAGGATTTGGTGAGTGAGTGTGTGGTCTAGTCCCATTTTCTTCTCCAGGACAATAATGGAGAAATATAGCCGACAAATTTCGTGTCCTTCTCTTTTTCACAGCATCCTGCACTCAGAGGTTCTCCTGATCGCTTGAGTAACTGATGTTAAGTAAGATTGGTTGTTAGCAATAACTTCGAACGCCCATTATTTTAACTTGAATCAGTTGTATTTTACACACATGATAGTATTAGCCTTCACATTATTTATTTAATGGCACAGCCTACGTAAATGTTTAAGCAGTTAGAACAAATCAAGACTATCAACTTCAAAATGAGGCGCTCGTAATTATTACTGTGTCTTCAGGCTAATATATAAGCCCGTTACTGACAACTGAGACTTACGAGCACATATTAATTATGTATTTAATAGTACAAATTTATTAGGTCTCATAACCGAGACTTACGAGTACATATTTATTATAGTGAAAAAGCCACTAGATTGCTTTAATCGCAGATTCACTAGAAATTTAAAAGCGAAGAAAACACCAAGCAATGTTTATGAAATACTTCCCGGACATTAATCTTCGTATCTTACTGGTGAATAATTTCAAAATAGGTTCGTTTTTTAGGTACAAAGATATCCTTCCTCCTCATATGCGATCGTCCCTATTTATAAATTTACTTGTGCACGATGTGCATCTGCGAACGTCGGAATGACGGCACGCAACCTTTACACTAGGGTCGCTGAGCATAGAGGTAGGAGTTATAGGACTGGACAGTTACTATCGCGCCCTCCTCATTCGGCTGTGCGCACTCACGCCGAACAGTGCAACGTTCCAGTGTCCGACACAGACTTTAAGGTTTTAGCTTATAGTTCTGGTGCTTCTGATCTGCGTATTTTGGAATCCTTGTATATTTTTAAAGAGAAGCCTAGTTTAAATGCTGCCTATAGTTCTTATCCATTAGAAATTGTGAATAGATAGGTTCTTACTTTATTATTCTGCCCTTTGTCTGTAAATTTAGGTTTTTAACTTCTGTGTGTGTGTGTTTTTTTTTTTGTTAATTCCAAATTAATTTTCTGCATTTATCTGTGTTCTAGATTTATCGAACTGACGATGGAGCTGGTCTTCGAAACGTTTTCAAAAGAGATATGCTAAATTTTTGTGGTGTTTTCTTCGCTTTTAAATTTCATATTTATTATGTATTTAATACTACAAATTTATTAGGTCTCATAACCGAGACTTACGAGTACATATTTATTATGTATTTAATAGTACAAATTTATTAGATCTCGTAACTGAGACTTACGAGTACATATTTATTATGTATATAATAGTACAAATTTATTAGGTCTCATAACTGAGACCTACGAGTACATATTTATTATGTATTTAATAGTACATATTTATTAGGTCTCATAACTGAGAACTGCGAGTATTATGTATTAATAGTACACATTTTATGAGGTCTCCTAAGACGTACGAGTACATATTTATTATTATTCGGTCTCGTGCAGCCCGGGGACAGCCAGCTCCCGTCGGAGGCCTGCATTGACCTGCCGCAGGTGCACGTCGAGGCAGAATACATTCAAGACGACGCCTCTGGTGCTCCCTCTGGAGGCCTGCAGACGGCACCTCCCGGGGGCGGCAGCGAGAGCAGCATCGTCATGAGGAAGGGCAATTACCTCAACGGCGTCGCCGAGATAGGTTCTCTGGAGCACAGTCTCACCACAGACCTGCTCAACCACCTGGTCTTCGTGCAGAAAGTCTTCATGAAGGTGAGGAGCTGCGTGGTCGATTTACACAGTCTTACCACAGACCTGCTCAACCACCTGGTCTTCGTGCAGAAAGTCTTCATGAAGGTGAGGAGCTGCATGGTCGATTTACACAGTCTTACCACAGACCTGCTCAACCACCTGGTCTTCGTGCAGAAGGTCTTCATGAAGGTGAGGAGCTGCATGGTCGGTTTACCAGACAAATTTCGGGTAGCGCTCCGACATATGTCCGGGAGTCGCTACACTCGGCTTAGAGTTATAATATTCTCGTATTATATTATTATTCTGGGTCTGTTTGACCACCAGATCAAAATAAGCTTCTATTCAAAATCTCTTTTCTAAATGTTATAGTCGCGTGATTATATGACAAGTGTGTCCTGAGATTATGACAAGTGTGTCCTGAGAGTATGACAAGCGTGTCCAGTGTGTGTAAATACTCTCAGAGTATGAGAGTATGTCCAGAGTTTCAATACTCTCAGTGTGACCTAAGAATATGAGAAGGGTTAGCTGAGCAGAGTCTTGCCACCGAGCTTGCAAGCTTCCCAGAGGCTGCACTTAAAGCCTAGAGCTGAATCGAACATTAGCGGCTGATTTTCCAATATATATAAAGTTTGTTTGTAGAATATGATTAGGATCTGTTTTTTTATTATGGTTGCTGGATTTCATTCAAATTTTCATGACTAGTGAATGCGAATTGTGAAATAAAGTTTTATTGACTGAGCTACATCTTTATTATATCCGTTCTATTTATACTTTACGTGAATTTATTACCCCTCTAACTTAACTATGTTAAGACCGTTAAGATAAATTTCTTATCCCGCTCAGGAAGTGAACGAAGTGGTGCAGAAGATGGCAGGTGGGGACAAGCCCGTCCCGCTGTGGTGGGACGACGCGACCCACGACGACTCAGCCCCTCCCCGGCGTGCCCCCCGTCCCCGACAGCTGCTGTTCTCCCTGCAACTTCGTCTGCGGGGCATCACCATGACGGGCACGACACCCACGCAGTCTGCGGTCCGACTTGAGACGGGCGCCGTCGAGCTGCACCTCAGTAACCGCATCGACTCAGGGGGCGGCGCCCCCACCGGGGGGTGCCAAGCCTCCAGGATATACGGCAGGGCGCAAGTTGACCTCAACCTCGCCCTGGGGCAGCTCATCCGCAACGACATGTTCGAGGAAGTCGAGCCTGAACTGCAGCAGCTTGCTTACTTCAGAACCCGCATCAACCTGCGTAACGCCTTCCACAACGAGCTGTCCTCTGTGGGGCCTGAGGGGGAGGTGGTGCTGATCAGCCTCACGCGTCCTCTGGTCTGCGTGCAGCCCATGGCCGTAGACCGCGCCGTGCTCGTCTGGCTTAATTACAGAAACGCTTACGACTACTGGAACGAACAGCGGGCCTCGCTCAATAAGGTTAGTGATGCTTATGACTACTGGAACGCTTGTGACTACTGGCACGCTTACAACTACTGGAATGCTTACGACTACTGGAATTCTTAGCCTAGGACTACTGGAATGCTTCTGACTACTTGAACGCTTCTGACTACTTGAACGCTTCTGACTACTTGAGCACTTACAACTACTGGAACCCTTGCGACTAATGGCACGCTTACAACTACTGGAATGCTTATGACTACAGAATGCCTGCTGCAATTGGTAGCACTCTTCTAATCTAAGTTTTTCTGGTGGCAGGAGGTACTGACGGCGACGCAGCAGGTGTTCGAGAAGGTCCCGCAGTTCGCGTCCCTCGGGCCTAACCTGACGTCAAGTCTGAGCAGCAGCAGCGCTGGCGGGTCCGCGCGATCATCGGTCCCGCGGTCCAACCTCTTCCTCCAGCTGACGGTGGACGACCTCGGGGTGTGTCTGCCCCTCAACCCCGTGCCCTCGGTGAGTGGACCCCTCAACCTCGTGCCCTCGGTGAGTGGACCCCTCAACCCCGTGCCCTCTGTGAGTGGACCCTTCAACCCCGTGCCCTCGGTGAGTGAACCCCTCAACCCCGTGCCCTCGGTGCGTGGACCCCTATACCTCGTGCCCTCGGTGAACAGACTCCTATACTCCGTGTCCTTTGCGAGCGGACCTCTCAACCCGTGCCCTCGGTAAGCGTACCCCAAAAACCCATGCCTTTGATGAGCGGACTCTACAGCCCCATGCCCTCAGTGTATTCTATTCTATTAACTAATAAACTATTCCATTAACATTCCTGCAAGTTGATGCTCTTAACTTGACGTTGCAGGCGACGCAGCAGGCGGACTCGACAGAGACGCGTGACGCGTTGGTCATGACGCTCGAGAGCACCAGCATCTCCGCCTGCAACTCTGGCTCTCTCGTCTGCAAGGCGCGCTTCACGGGCTTCTGTATGAGGTGGGCGCGCTTCACGGGCTTCTGTATGAGGTGGGGGCGCTTCACGGGCTTCTGTATGAGGTGGGCGCTTCACAGGCTTTTGTATGAGGTGGACGCTTCACGGGCTTCTGTATGAGGTGGGTTTCACAGGCTTCTGTATGAGGTGGGCGCGCTTCACGGGCTTCTGTATGAGGTGGGCGCGCTTCACGGGCTTCTGTATGAGGTGGGCGCGCTTCACGGGCTTCTGTATGAGGTGGGCACGCTTCACGGGCTTCTGTATGAGGTGGGCGCGCTTCACAGGCTTTAATACAGATTTAATTGTACAATCGTTCTCCAGTTTGATCGTAAAATCATCAGCAAATGAAATTGTGCAATCGTATGCAGATTATATCGTATAATCATATGCAGATTACATCATATAATCATACGCAGAACATATGGTATAATGGTACCCAGAATAAATCATATAACCATACGCAGGTTTGCCCCCGAGTTCGAGACAAGTCTGGACGAGTGGAAGCCTGACCTGAAGGACGCGTCCCTCATGAACCTCTGCACCGTGTCTGAGGGCACCTACGAGGTCTGCAGCCGTACCCGCACCACGCACACTGACAAGGGTTAGGACTTGTCCTTATACTATAACCCTTATAAGAACTTGTTTCAGTCTTATATGACAACCCTTGCTAATATTCCTATATCAAATGTTCTTTTTGACAAGTCTGCTATCTCGAATGTCAACGTCTGCCAAGCCTAAGTCTGATATATCAAATGTCGAGTCTTGCCAAGTCTGCTCTCTGAAAAGTTAACTCTTGCCAAGTCTGCTATTTCAGAATCTAGTCATTACCATTACTCTAAGAAATTTCAGTGGCATCACTAGCAACTAAGACGAGATTATTTGTTGCCGTTAATAATAATTATCATTATCATTATTCTTAAGACTGGTCAATCCTTTACAGTCGGAACCCCTGTGTGGCTGCTAAGACGACATTATTCATTACGTCACTTATTATTATTAGTATTCATAAGAGCGGTTATAGTTATAATTGTTATCGCTAAAATTGTTTTCTTAACATCAGGCTCATAAGAGCGGTTATAGTTATAATTGTTATCCTTAAGAGTGTTTTCTTAACATCAGGCGGCGCGGCAGTGTGGCTGCTGCACGTGGGCTGGCAGATGGAGGTCCTTAAGACTAGCTAATTATTATTATTATCCTTAAGACTAGTTAATTATTATTATTATTGTTATCCCTAAAACTCTTGTATCAACATCAGGCGGCGCGGCAGTGTGGCTGCTGCACGTGGGCTGGCAGATGGAGGTCCTTAAGACTAGCTAATTATTATTATTATCCTTAAGACTAGTTAATTATTATTATTATTGTTATCCCTAAAACTCTTGTATCAACATCAGGCGGCGCGGCAGTGTGGCTGCTGCACGTGGGCTGGCAGATGGAGGGCGTAGACCTGCTCATGGACATCAACATCGGCAAGCAGCTCAGCGCCCTCGCCCGCACCCTCACCACCATCACTGGTAGCATCCTTCATACTTCTTGTCTCTTGTTTACTTACAATAACTTGATTACATAATTGAAGAAGCCTCGTAACTGTATCTGCCTCGCTGTTGCTTCTGTTATTGACTTAACCTGCCCACACCCTCATCTTTCTTGCGTATTATTTAATCAAAATAGTTTAAAGGCGTGCTTTTATGTATGTTAGTGCAGTTCCTTAACATGATAACATGAAATTCCTCACAGGTCCTCTGTTACTGTGTCTTCTCTATTTGTTGTTGGGTCTTTGTTAGGAGTTTTCCATTATATTCCAGACAATCCATGTGCAAGGCATCCTTCTATAGGATAAGATCCCATCAATTATTGGCTCTCATGACGATATCAGTGTTGTTGTCAACAGAAACGACTATAGATGATGGACAAGTGAGACGATGTTTACCTATCTAGCAGACCATTATTTATTTATGCAACATTATTGCTGGTATTAAAAGGTATTTCTACGCTTTATCATCATTTCCCACCATGCCAGGGTCCCCCGACGAGGCGGCCGCCACGCCCGGTCATGTCACCCCGTCACACGAGCTCGACTCTGACGACGACGATGACGACGAAACCTTCAGCCATGACGGCGGCGACCTTAACGCTGCTCAGGTCGTCTTGTACACTGCATTTAATATGCTAATAATACTAGCCATGATACTTTACCTCAAAGCTGGTAGTCATGATACTTTACCTCATGCACTGCATTTAATATATTAATAATGCTGGTAGCCATGATACTTTACCTCATAGACTACAATCAACAAATTCATTATAATTTATTTAAGGTATATCCAAGACGCTGGTCATGACATTAGCTTCTTACGAACAGCAAAGTAAACTCCCGAGAATATAAAATTGTTTGGCGAGCAGTTGAAAATGTAAGAAGAAACTTTTAATTTTGCTTGCTCTTGACCCACTTTTACCTATCTTGTTGCTTGTTCTTGACCCACTTTTTTACCACCAGCCAGAGTCAGCGTCGTCGCGGCGGCAGGCCCTGCAGTTCCCGGACAGTCTCCCTGCCGCGGTCTTCGACCCCAACCTCGACCCCAGACAACGCGCCAAGCTCCTCGAGATAGAGATGAATGAGCAGGCCAAGTGAGTCGAGATGAATGAGCAGGCCAAGTGAGTCGTGATGAATGAGCAGGCCAAGTGAGTCGAGATGAATGAGCAGGCCAAGTGAGTCGAGATGAATGAGCAGGCCAAGTGAGTCGAGATGAATGAGCAGGCGAAGTGAGACAAGGACAACCTATCGCACCAAATAGGATACGTAAGCATTAACCAAAAGCTTACGAATTTCCACCGAAATTTTCTTCGTGCATATTTCAATACATTTAAAAATAAAAATAAAAGCCAAGAAAATTCCGCACGAGTTAACCATAATTTTATAGATAACTTTACGGCGTCCTATTATTACCGCCGAAATTAAAAAAAACGAAAACATAAATTTGAAAACAAAGGACAGAACAAAAAAAAAGTAAAACCTTTCTGTTCAAAATTTCAATTGGGTGCAGTTAAAGGCTGCATTTAAACAAGGCCTCTGGTTGAAAATAGACGATGTTTCTGAAATACACAAATCGGAAGCTCCGGAAATCGAAGATAACAAATCGTTAAATGACTATTGGGCACTGGAACGCTGCACAGTTCAGCGTGAGTGCGCACAGCCGAATGAGGGGATGCGCTAGTAAGTGGCTAGTTCGATAACTCCTCCCTTTGTGCTCCGCCATTCTAGGATAAAAATTGCGTGACGTCATACTAACGTACGCAGATGCGCATCGCGCACAACAGTATTTATAAACTAGGGACGATCACGGAAGCTCGGAAGCTGCAATGGTTGTCGGTGAATCTGTAATAGTTATCACTGACGCTGCAAAACTTATCATTACGTTGCAATGATATAAATGATGGCAGGACGGTAGCGGCCCTGAAGAGCGTGGGCGCGTCGGACGCGTGGGTGAAGCAGGAGATGAAGCGCCTGCAGGTGCTGGAGACGGCCGTCTTCTGCGACTTCAGGAGAGACGTCATGCAGAAACTGCGCCGGCAGAGTGTTAAGGTGTGTGGTCCGTGTGGTACTCCGTGTGGTGCTGCAGAGTGTTAAGGTGGTGTGGTAGTGTGGTCCGTGTGGTGCTGCAGAGTGTTAAGGTGTGTGGTCCGTGTGGTGCTGCGTGTGGTGCTGCAGAGTGTTAAGGTGCTGTGGTCTGTGTGGTGCTGCATAGTGTTAAGGTGTGTGGTCCGTGTGGTACTCCGTGTGGTGCTGCAGAGTGTCAAGGTGGTGTGGTTCGTGTGGTCCTCCGTGTGGTGCTGCAGAGTGTCAAGGTGGTGTGGTTCGTGTGGTGCTGCAGAGTGTGAAGGTGTGTGGTCCGTGTGGTGCTGCAGAGTGTGAAGGTATATAGTACGTATATAGTATCACTAGTATAGTTTCACTATCACCAGTATATCATCACTATCACTAGTACAGCATCACTATCACCAGTATAGCTTCACTATCACCAGTATAGCTTCACTATCACCAGTATAGCATCACTATAACTAGCATATCATCACTATGTGCAGGCTAACAGCATGCGGGACCGCCTCGGTCTCGCCTCCAAGCCCGGCTCTGGTCACATGTCAGCGTCCCGAAGCTTCAGGGTCCCCTCGCCCACACTCGAGATCTCTGAACCTAAACAGCGGTGAGCCGAACTATGATTGTTATTTAGTTAACTAACTATTGTTATTATTGTTAAAACAATTATGAACATGTCATGCTTTAACTATAATGCTTTATCTCACACTCGAGATCTCTGAACCTAAACAGCGGTGAGCCAAACTATGATTGTTATGATGTAAGAGACAATCATGAACATGTAGTGATCTAAATATAATGCTTTCTACGTTATTATTTATTTATTTAGCCTGGCTATTATGTCATAATAATATATGGGCTCGGTTGTTATGCCGTACAGAATAGGCGGTTAAATTAAGGTAGATATGTTTGTTATTACAGCAATTACCGTTGTTATTACAACAATTACCACTGTTATCGTAACAATTACCTCTGTTATCGTAACAATTACCGCTGCTATTGCAACAATTACCGCTGTTATTGCAACAATTACCGCTGTTATTGCAACAATTACCGCTGCTATTGCAACAATTACCGCTGCTATTGCAACAATTACCGCTGTTATTGCAACAATTACCGCTGCTATTGCAACAATTACCGCTGTTATTGTAACAATTACCGCTGTTATTGTAACAATCACCGCTGTTATCGCAACAATCACCGCTGTTATCGCAACAATCACCGCTGTTATCGTAGGCACGACAGCAGCAGCGGCAGTGACCCACTTTCCCTGGCCCTGGACGGCAGAGGTGGGTCATCGTCGCCGTCCACCGTCCCCCAGTCGCCCCTGCCCGCCTCGTCCACCGCCGAGGACGTGCCTCTCGTCCACTCCAGGTAGTCTGCTTATCTATGTTATTTATTAATTAATTATTATTGTTAATCTTTAATAATTAATTAATACTGTTAATATTTATTGATTAATTATTATTGTTAATATCTATTAAATAATTATTTTTGTTAATATTAATGCTTATCAATGTTATTAATCAATTATTATTGTTAATAATAATGCTTATCAATGTTATTTATTAATTAATTATTATTAATTATTAATGTTAATATTGAGGCTTATCAATATTATTAATTAATTAATTAATATCCTGCTTGTCGATAGCAGGATAAAAATGTAACTATTGTTTCGGGGCAAGAAATTTCGATTGTTTTTATTTATAAAAAATTAGATTGTTGCTGTCACCTGTTGGCTTACCGCTAGTGCTGTAGTATCGAATCTAGTATTGCTAGTTAAACTAGTATTGCTAGTTAAACTAGTATTGCTACTTAAACTAGTATTGTTAGTTAAACTAGTATGGCTAGTTAAACTAGTATTGCTAGTTGAACTAGTATTGCTAGTTAAACTAGTATTGCTAGTTAAATTAGTATTGCTACTTAAACTGGTATTGCTACTTAACTAGTATGGTTAGTTAAACTAGTATGGCTAGTTAAACTAGTATTGCTAGTTAAACTAGTATTGCCAGTTAAACTAGTATTGCTAGTAAAACTAGTATTGCTAGTTAAACTAGTATTGCTAGTTAAACTAGTATTAATTGCTAGTTAAACTAGTATTGCCAGTAAAACTAGTATTGCTAATACACGATCGCGTGTGTGGTACTTTTAAAAATACCAATTAATACGAAAACGATGAAGATACGAGAATATACGATGATCCATCACAAATGTAGCTTTCAGACTTCACAGACGCAACGCTGCGCTCAGAGTAATAGGTGGGGCTATGTCGAAATGGCGATGCGTTTTTTGCCCCTCTAGTATAATATATATAAAGCTGGCGTTACCGTTATATCCATGTTAGTATAATATATATATCCATGTTAGTATAATATATACATGTATATCCATGTTAGTATAATATATATAAAGCCAGCGTTACCGTTATATCCACGTTTGGTCCCGCAGGTTCCCCCGCCCTGGGGACGTGGTTTCAAGGTGTGGGGACGGCGGGGACGTGAGCACCTCGCTGAGTGTCCCCTCGTCCCCCTCCACGGGGGACAAGCTCCCCTTGCAGTCCCCAAGTCCCCACCTCGCCCCCACCGCCAGCCTCACTCAGTCTGACACTGAGACTGACACTCTGACTGTCACTAATGTCAGGTGAGACTGACACTCTGACTGTCACTAATGTGAGGTGAGACTGACACTCTGACTGTCACTAATGTCAGGTGAGACTGACACGCTTAAGAATGAAATGAATAAAATGTCTGACACGTACGAATTAAATTAACAAACGAACTGAAAGAAAAAAAAATGCGGATAATTCAAAATGATGCACTACATGATATCGCTCATGTATTTGTCAGGATTGTTCGTATTTATTTGCCAGGAATGTTCGTATTTATTTGCCAGGAATGTTCGTGTTTTGTCGTGAATGTTGTGAATGTTGGCATCGCATGATTGCAGAGTATCCAGCGGTGCTTTTTTTCCAGCCAAATTAGCCGATTTTGGGCTTTTTTCAATTGAGTTTATCGGCTGAAAAATAATACATTTATAAAATATAAAAATATCGATTTCAATATATTTTTCAAAGTCTCAATGCTTCAAAAATTAATGGTAATTATTAATTAGTAGTAATTTACTAGTAATTATTGAATTTTTCTGAGCTAATATGACAACCTTTGCCCCAGCAGCAGCTTCGCGACGGCGCCCCTGGGGGGCGGCGCCCCGGCGTCCACGGGCGCCAGTGGTCGGGGCGACAGCGCTGCTGCTGCTGCTGCGGCGCCCTCAGCACCTCAGCACGGTGGGTTCCTTGATTTTCTTATGCCTTATGAAATATTTTTTTTTATCATCGCCAGACTACACGGTGACTTAACATTAATTACTCTTAATGTCCATACCTCCGCATTTGCCTTCTAAGATAACTTGTCCAATCTCCACTTTTCAGTGTGGTGTTGGATTAATTAATATATTGTCTATCGTTGATGATGAATATAATATCTATCTGAAGGTTCGGGATCTATTATTATCTTTGGCTATAGCAGGTGTGGAAGGCGATTAATACAGAACAGTTAACTCACTAATTAGATTATACAATAGGCACTAGGAGTATTATAGCATCGATGAGAGGGATTGATACGACCTGCTCGAGATAGAAGCTTATCGAGGGTGGGAGCGTAGGAATAACGTGCGGACGCTCGGAGGTCTCTCCTACAACTGACCGGTGGAGTGCTTAGAGAGCTATGTGGGTCAACCCGCGTAGTGTAGCATGAAATGTACGACAAGATGTACGACATTTAAATAGTCACTGAGGGTGACGTACGACGTTTAAATAGTCACTGAGGGTGACGTACGACATTTAAAGAGTCACTGAAGGTGACGTACGACATTTAAAGCGTCACTGAAGGTGACGTACGACATTTAAAGAGTCACTGAGGGTGACGTACGACATTTAAAGAGTCACTGAGGGTGACGTACGACATTTAAAGAGTCACTGAGGGTATCCCAGCAGCACCATTTATCCCAGCAGCACCATTTATCCCAGCAGCACCATTTATCCCAGCAGCACCATTTATCCCAGCAGCACCATTTATCCCCCCTACCCTCCATATATCCCCCAGGAGGCTCGCAAGACCCCAGTATAGACCTGGAGCTGGACGTGCAGGTCTGCATCAGTTCAGGCCAGTGTATCCTCTACAACAAGGACTGCCGCAAGGAGGAGGATACCAAGAGGTGCGGTAATCCTGCTGTAACATGACGTGTTAATTAACAGTGTTACATTAGGAGGAGGATACCAAAAGGTGCGGTAATCTTTCTCTTGCATGGTAACGTGCTGTAACATAACTTATTAATAACCAGAGTAACGTTAGGAGGATACCAAGAGGTGCGTTATTTCAGTTCAACGAAGCTAACGAGTAGCCATTGTTTACATCAAGAAATTAAGCCATTAACTGTGTGCATAGAAAAACAACGCTATCCTTCTCGTTCTCATTAGGCCTGTGTTTGTATAACAACTCTTGCGTTGGAAAAATTAACAGTAAAATAACTTGGTATGTTCTTAGGCTTTATCTTATTTTATCTTCTCATTTCGTTGTAAGTTGTGATGATACCCCCAATGATACCTCCGATGATACCCCCGATGATACCCCCAATAATACCCCCCATTGATACCCCCAATAATACCCCTGATGATACCCTCAATAATACCCCCGATGATACCCCCAATAATACCCCAGATTATACCCCCAATGATACCCCCGATGATACCCCCATTGATACCCCCAATGATACCCCCGATGATACCCCGATAATACCCCCAATAATACCCCCGATGATACCCCCCAGTCGCCTGAAGAAGGAGCGCAGTTTCTCGGGCGTACTCTATGACCTCAGCGGCACCTCCAGCAGCCCGGGGTCCACGCGACGCAAGGGCGGCGCCGGCGCCTCTGACCTCAGGCAGCACCTCTCTTCCTCAGGGTAATTTTATTAATTATCATTATTATTGATTATTGTTATTACCAGTATTTTATTATTTATACCGGTAATTACATTATTCGCTTACAAAATTATTGGCTCTTCCGAGCTCAGGCTGCACTTCTCCCTCCTCTGGGCATTGTTATTCATTATCATTATTATTAATATTATTCAGTGGATGATATTTGTTGTCAGGAAGCTACGTCAGTCGGCGCAGTCATCCAGCACCGGGGCGCCGCCCCCCGCCAAGCCTCGTCAGGGCAGCGCCGGCACCGCCCCCTCCGTGGCAGAGTGCACGGTCTTCTTCATACCGGGGCTCGACGTTAAGGTTAGTGATTAACTTGACCTTTTGACTGTGGTTAGATTCAACGTTAAGGTTAATTAATAGTTTCATGTATACATTAGGAACTGCCACCGCTGCTCATGTTTTTTTTATTATATTTAGTAATTTGGTTACATGTTTTCACTTATGTCTTCTATCCAACTGGTTATTTTATTACGTCTTTTCAGTTTCGGTTTGTATGGTAATGGGGACTCAAGTTACATGCTATTTGTGTTGGTCCCTAGGTGCTTATTTGTATTGTAATTTATAATCTAGTTACACGTTTGTGTTCGGTGCCCGTGTGTCGCAATTAATCCATGTTTACGTGTTGGTGAACGTTTCTGTTGCTGCATCTCAGGTTCACTACGAGTCCCACTCCTCGAACGTCGAGAGTCCCGCAGCTAGCGGAGGTCCCGCTGGCGGCGGAGGTCCCACAGGGGGTGGAGGTCCCACAGGAGGCGGAGGTCCCACTCGGAGTCCCCATGATTCTTCAACCCTTCATCCCCATCGCAAAGCAAACACCCGCGATGAGGAAGTCATTGGGGGAGACTCAAGCATTCCTAGGGATGCCTCCATGCATCAAACAGCTGCTGGTGAAGGTGGTGGTGTTGCTAGTGGTCAGGTCCACAGCCCAGGCACTGGGGCAGGTGCCACTGCTCCCTCAGGAGCCACAAACCGCAAGTATGCGTCCCTGTTCACATGGCTGACGCTACAAAGCATCCCTGAGGAGACCGTCATCTGCCCCAGCATCCTGGACTTCTTGGAGCTCGCCCTGGAGCCTCTGCCGCTGCCGCACACTCAGAAAACCGAGTGTGATGCTGGAGACATCAAGCAAGAAGGTATGATTAAATTGGGGATTTTTTTAAGAGAATATTTTTTTATATATAGAGAGAGAAGACGTTTCCTATCGTCTCATATCTTTTAAAGTTGGTGAATCGGAGTGATTACTCCACCAAATTTACGTTACGTTCAGGTTCAGGTTCAAGATACCGGTATTCATTACTTATCGTTTTGTCAGGTGGTTGCCGAGTGGCACTTGATAATTGGCACGATGAAAAGGTTCTCTTTTTGGAAGCGTTACGGCAAAGAAAATACCAAGAGAGGGTTGTAATGAAACACTGATACATTTCTAACCAACCCTTGGCGCGAATTTTAAGGTCCTTATATACGCTAGTGTCGCGCACTGTTAAGCCTAACCCTCGAAGTAACGCCACATTCCTATAATGGAATTTCCCTCGCCAACGTTCGATGCTTCCCACGGTCTCGCAACAACCGCGCCGCATTCTTAGCATTCTTAACATCTATGCATAATACATGTTCAATATTACCTACTGTCAATATTACCTACTTTATTCAGGTATACGCTGTAATATAAACTATGTAAATTTACGCTAATGTGCATAGTAGTGAAATGCTTAATATGAATAAATAGCAGGAGTGCTCGCCTTTTATCGGGCGCAAAAATCTGTGCGATTTTAGAATTCGCGTAGGATACCGAATCCCGTCGCTTCCGTTTTTGTTTCAGCTTCTAACAGCCCGTGAAGAGCTTTTCAAATGAAATTCTTGTTGACGTTTGCATCATTTTGTCTCCTTATTTATAGTTGATTTTGGTTTTAATTTCTATTTTTTTGTTTAACTATTTTACACCTAAGGCTTAGAAGTAAATTCACCTCATTTAGAAATTGGTAAGTACGAGCGGTATTGATGGGAATTTATTTAAACTCTTAACGCAGAATAATGTTTACAGCTTCAGAAGTGCTGAGTGAGAGTGGCGAGGGCGGGACGGTGGTGCCCGGCGGTCAATATTCCTCTTTCCCCGTAGACGTGATCGTATATTTCCACATGCATCCTTGCACCATCCGCTTCTCGTGCCAGCCCGTGTCCCGCGTCGAGTGCCTACTGCAATTGCCTTCCCTCGACCTCGTATTTTCCTCCAAGAGAGCCAACGACGAATGCACCTTCGAGGAAGTCTCTACCACCACCTCGGCAGAGTCCAAAACTCTGAGCAACACCGTCGGGGGGTTGAGTGTCACGGGAGTTCTAGAGGACTTCTCGTTGTTTGTCTTCCATCCGTACGGTGGCAAGACCGCCCGAAAAAGCATCGATTCCGAACGCAGGAATTCATTGAGCGTTACTGTCGAGTTCGTAAAGTTTCAGATTTCACGAACACGGAAAATGAACGTCACTGAAAACGTCAACACAGCGACATCAGCTGAGAGACTAGGCAAGCAAACGCCTAACGCTGTGCCTGACGCCGCAGCAATCATTCGGTTTTCTGCAATCATTGACATCGGCACGGCGCTTTTCAAGTACGACATGCGGAGGTTAACTGAAATTTTGGCTTTCCCAAAGGCGTGGTACCGAAGAACCATCGTACGTCGACTCTTCTTGGGCGACTTGGGCAATTTGTCCACCGTCAATGAGATGACAGAGGACGATGAAGTGAACTTGACAGCCACGCACAGCTCGAGCACATCTAAAGACAGCACCGAGAACAGCCGTCGTGAGAGCAGCAACAGCAACAACATCATCACCAACAGCAATAACAGCCGTAATCAAACAACAGCAGCTGCTGGTGCAACAGCAGCAAAGGCAGGCCCTGAATCTCAGCACCCAACCCCTGGACTTGGTCCAAGACCACGTGACAAACTCTGGCTAAATCTGGACGGCGAAGCTGCGAAAAAGTCACAGAAAACTGCCAATTATTCCCTAAAATCTAACCCTAACGCTGGTGGCAACGCAGGCTCCTGGGAAACTCTGGTGCTTTTTGCAGCGAATTTCACGAAACTCGACGTGCACATGAACATGGGTAACGTTATGGGCAACGTTGTTTGGACGACCAGAGGCTTTCAAGCCAATGGCCGTCTCTCCATCGGCAGCTGCGGCCACAAAAACATGTACATCGGACTTGGCTTGGGCGGGTCTAACCTCGAGGCCAAAGGTGGAATCGTGGGTGGTATCATCGACTTATCAACGATCAACACGTACCTGAAGATAAGAGAAGACCCTGGCACAGAGCCTGACCACACCTTCGGGGTGAAGTTATTCGCATGTCAGTGTCGGCTGGACTACATGGGCACGAGTGTCCTCATGTTGAGAGTATCCTCTTGTGGTGCTACCCTCAGGGACGAGTGGAAGGTGCTATCCTCCGACGACAGCGATGATGCCACGCGCAGGTAACACACAAATTTTGGTTTTTAGTTATAATTTTTTTTATTAATTTTTAACACAGCGCCACATGCTATGTTATACACATTTTTTGTTTTATACAATTAACGGTTATACAAATTTTATTTTGTAAAATTTTGTTTAGACCAACTGTGATTATTTCGTCGTGATTTGATTATGACCTTTGATTATATCGTCGTTATTTGTGCTCCATCCTTTAATTCGAAGCCTAAAATTCTTGGACAAATCAGATCTAAAACCTAGAACAGCTTATCTAAATTTCAGAAGATATAATTTTGGCTTATTTAGTTGAAATAATAAATTTGTGCGTACAGAAGCGCGACGATATTCATCATTGGCGACCTAGAGTGGGACCAGCTGCAGCTTCTGATCAGCAAGAGCACCACGGCCGACCTCCTCAAAATGTATCACAAACTCGAGGAGTTCTTCGCTCAGCAGTTCAAGTCGAGTCGCCAGGTGCTGTTCTCGCTGCAGCCTAACAAGCAGAAGCATTCCGTCCGCTCCAGAGACAAGGGCGGCCACAGCAGCAAGAAACTTTCGTCTGGTAGGTCTAAACTTTCGTCTGGTTGGTCTAAACTTTCGTCAGGTTGGTCTAAACTTTAGTCTGGTAGGTCTAAACTTACGTCTGGTAGGTCTAAACTGTCGTCTGGTAGGTCTAAACTTTCGCCTGGTAGGTCTGAACTTTCGCCTGGTAGCTGTAAACTTTCGTCTGGTAGGTCTAAACTTTCGTCTGGTAAATGTAAACTTTCGTCTGGTAGGTCTAAACTTTCGTCTGGTAGGTCTAAACTTTCGTCTGGTAGGTCTAAACTTTCGTCTGGTAGGTCTGAACTTTCGTCTGGTAGGTCTAAACTTTCGTCTGATAGGTCTGAACTCTGAACTTTCGTTGTCATACCCTCACCATACCCTCATACCCTCACCATACCCTCATACCCACAGTCACGGGCGGTAGTGTGGCGGGTGAGGTACACCATCACCGTCACTGGCAGCGGGTGTTGTCACGGGTGTCGGGTCTCTCCCTGACCACCCTGCCCGTGCCCCTGCCCGTCACGGGCACGGTGCTGGGGGGCTGCCTCGAGCTGCACGGCAACAGCATCTCATTAGCCTGCTTCCACGGCCTCAACTTCAAGAGCAAGTCTTGGGCACTCTTCTCTCTTAAGGAGCCTCTCATTAACTTCACCACCGAGGTCCAGGAGACGCCCGATGATGGTGAGATATTAAGTAGCCCATCATTAACGCCCTCATTAACTTCAACGCCGAGGTCCAGGAGACGCCCGACGATGGTGAGATATTAAGTAGCTCCTCATTGATATCCTCATTACTTCACCACCGAGGTCCAGGAGACCCCCGACGATGGTGAGATATTAAGTAGCTCCTCATTAACGCCCCCTCAATAATTTCACCACCGAGGTCCAGGAGACGCCTGATGATGGTGAGATATTAAGTAGCTCCTCATTAACGCCCCCTCAATAATTTCACCACCGAGGTCCAGGAGACGCCTGATGATGGTGAGATATTAAGTAGCTCCTCATTAATATCCTCATTACTTCACCACCGAGGTCCAGGAGACCCCCGACGATGGTGAGATATTAAGTAGCTCCTCATTAACGCCCCCTCAATAATTTCACCACCGAGGTCCAGGAGACGCCTGATGATGGTGAGATATTAAGTAGCTCCTCATTAACATCCTCATTAACTTCACTACCGAGGTCCAGAAGACATCCGACGATGGTTAGTTATTACGTAGCCCCTCATTAATGTCCTCATTAACTAGACCGAGGTCCAGGTCTCGAAGATGAACTATTCTACCGGATATCTACCACTGCTAATAACTTCAACCATCGCATCTTTTACGCCTGAATTTCTCGATCGCTTAGATTACCACCCAGAGATTACTACCCAGATAATACTAACAGAGATTACTAACAGAGACTACTACCCAGATAATACTANAGATTACTACCCAGAGATTACTACCCAGAGATTACTACCCAGAGATTACTACCCAGAGATTACTACCCAGAGATTACTACCCAGAGACTACTACCCAGATAATACTACCAGAGATTACTACCAGAGATTACTACCTGAGATTACTACCTGAGATTACTACCCAGAGATTACTACCCAGAGATTACTACCCAGAGATTACTACCCAGAGATTACTACCGAGAGATTACTACCCAGAGACTACTACCCAGATAATACTACCAGAGATTACTACCAGAGATTACTACCCAGAGATCACTACCCAGAGATTACTACCCAGAAATTACTACCCAGAGATTACTACCCAGAGATTACTACCGAGAGATTACTACCGAGAGATTACTACCAGAGATCACTACCCAGAGATTACTACCCATTATCAGATTACTACCCTGAGATTACTACCCATTACCCATTATCAGATTACCACCCAGAGATTAACACTCATTATCAGATTACTTCCCAGAGATTACTACCCATTGTCAGATTACTACCCATTATTTGACTACTACCATTGATCAGATTACAACCCATTATCAGGAGGCCCATTATATTGCTGCCAGATTCTTACGAATCTTCCTACACAATCAAGTGTTGCGTGCAGGAGAGCGTGACACGCACGTCATCCAGAACCTGATCCTGAGCCTGGGCGTGCTGAAGCAGGCGCCTGTACAGCACGTCTCCATGGCGACGGTGCTGCGGGTCCCTGTACAGCACGTCTCCATGGCGACGGTGCTGCGGGTCACCCGCAACATGGTCTTCCCGCCACAGTTCCGCACGCTGCATGACTGGTTCCATTACGCCTTCAACACCTCCGAGATAGACAGTAAGCCACCAAACTGAAATATTTTCTCATTTTTATAGTTTATGTCTTTGTATTTAACAGTTTTCCCATACTTTTGATTTGTCCATGAAAGCAAAATACCAAACCTGGAGCCGTGCTGTCAAACCCATTCCATCAAAGGGGCCGTACTTTCAAGACACGATCAAGTACACTTATTAGCCTATAAGTACACTTATTAGCCTATAAGTACACTTATTAGCCTATTAGTACACTTATCAGCCTATTTGAATTGGAATTTTAAATTCCAATATTAAATTCAAAATTGAATTTGAATATTAGATTCGAATTCGAGTTCGAAAGTTAAATTTGAATTGAATTCTAATATTAAATTCGAATTCATTATAAGTACATATTAAATTCAGCATATTATAAGCCTATAAGTACACGTAGCGCACTTATAGCCTGATAATTGCTCGTTGTGGTTCAAGTATGTACACATAGCAGCCTATGTGTTCGTAGCGGCGTGGGTATACGTAACGGAATAAATTCTCTAGTCTTAAGTAGACAAAAGGCCTTAGGCTTATACTCCGAAATTTCCTAAGTAATTACAGGTATCAGGCCCGCTTACATTAAATGAATCATTTTTTTTTCAAGATGTGGACCGGTTCCCGGTTCTGGACGACTCGCGCACGGACAGCCTCGGTTCGTCGGACCCGAAGCGAGTGTCGGGTTCACAGCAGCAACTCAAAGAGCACAACCACACCACCGAGACCATCTTCGCTTTCCCGTCCTTAGAGATACACTTGAACTCCAAGCAGCGACAGGGCCCCAACACTCCTGACTTCTCGGGTGAGTTGTGGCCCAACACTCCTGACTTCTCGGGTGAGTTGTGGCCCCAACACTCCTGACTTCTCGGGTGAGTTGTGGCCCCAACACTCCTGACTTCTCGGGTGAGTTGTGGCCCCAACACTCCTGACTTCTCGGGTGAGTTGTGGTCCAACACTCCTGACTTCTCGGGTGAGTTGTGGTCCAACACTCCTGACTTCTCGGGTGAGTTGTGGCCCAACACTCCTGACTTCTCGGGTGAGTTGTAACCAAACACTCCTGACTTCTCGGGTGAGTTGTGGCCCCAACAATAAAAATAATAAAATAATGCATAATAAATAAATATAGTAAATAAAACATGAATAGATGTATTGAATTATAATAGGTGAATCAATGTAATGTTTACCACTAAACATTTGTACGTCAGACAAGAAGCCTCGCGTGGAGACGTCGCTGCAGTGACGGAGTTCCAGGACCACCACATCTTCGTCACGGTCGACGCTGAGAACTTCTTCCTACACGACCTTATTATCTCTTATGTTAGAGATAACAGAGATAAGGGGGTCAGTTGTTAGGAACTTCTTCTTCCTGCACGACCTTATTATCTCTTATGTTAGAGATAACAGAGATAAGGGGGTCAGTTCTCTTACTGTCTCTTATACACATCTGACTTCTCGGGTGAGTTGTGGGCCCAACACTCCTGACTTCTCGGGTGAGTTGTGGCCCACCAGCCACCAGTCCTTGACGGTATTTGCATATGAAGGCCTGGTAACTTAAAATACCACTAATACAACTTGAGATACCATACTACAACTTGAGATACCATTAGTACACACACAGGTAATGAATAATAGGTAATACACTGCATTACTGGGCAGTATTTCTCAGTGGGAGACACGTTACCCCTTTTGCTATAGGCTGCAGTTAAATTCAGTTTGCTCTTTGGTAACGTATTTGATAATTTTATTTGATAGAATAAACTCATTTGATTATTGGAAAAATCAACGCATTTGATGATTTATTTGCAAAATAAAAGCACTTATTTTGAATAAATAAATAATGAAATAAATGCATTAGATAAATGCATAATATAAATAATAAATAAATATAATACATATAGAATAGTGAATAAATACAATAAACAAAATAATAAATAATATTAAATAATGAATAAATGTATTGAATTATAAAAGGTAAAAAAAGTAATGTTTACCCCTGTACATTTGTGCGGCAGGCAAGAAGCCGCGCGTGGAGACGTCGCTGGTGACGGAGTTCCAGGACCACATCTTCGTCACGGTCGACGCTGAGAACTTCTTCTTCCTACACGACCTTATTATCTCTTATGTTAGAGATAACAGAGATAAGGGGGTCAGTTGTTAGGAACTTCTTCTTCCTGCACGACCTTATTATCTCTTATGTTAGAGATAACAGAGATAAGGGGGTCAGTTCTCTTATATTAGAGATAACAGAGATAAGGTGGTCAGTTCGCTTATATCAAAGATAACAGAGGTAAGGTGGTCAGTTCTCTTATATTAGAGATAACAGAGGTAAGGTGGTCATTTCTCTTATATTAGAGATAACAGAGATAAGGGGGTCAGTTCTCTTATATCAAAGATAACAGAGTCGCTTATGTTCACAAGTATCGCGTTTGTTCGATAAGGTGGTCAGTTCTTATGAACTATATTTACTTGTGACCTCGTCATCTCTTATATCAATATCAATAACAAAATTGCATCGATATAGAAAAAGCTCTGGCATTTAATCAATAATCAATAAAATAAAATAAAAGTTTTAACAAAACATTTGTTGATGTTCTACCATCGGGCCTACCTAAATGATAACATTCATTGCGTTACTACCACAACAACTGCAATTTTCACTGCATTTCTTGATCAAAATATTTCTTTCTGTCGCTGTTTGAGTATCAAGTTATCAACGCTAATTTAATTTGGAATAAAATGATTGAAGTTTGTCTCAACGAAATCAAGTGGTAATCAACGTTGTTTCAACGTCATTTGCATGCAGGAAATTACTTATGTGATGCTAACAAAATATTGTTCTGTAAATGTTATTTCAACGTCATTTGATGTAAGAAAAATTAGTTGGGATAATTTGATAACCAAATTATCCTCTGATTTTTCCAGAGCGACGGCAGCGACGGGCCTTCACCGGCTGGGGGCGGCGGCCCCCTCATGGACCCCTCCTCTGGGGGGGCCCGGGGGGCCAAGGGGGGGCGGGTCAACGAACCCACGCAGTTCCTGCAACTCGACTGGCGGGAGTTTACGTGCAACACCTGGCACCTCGAGCCCACCGTCAGGTGTGTTGCAGGCAACCCTGCACACCGTGAGGTGTGTTGCAGGCAACCCTGCACACCGTTATTGTTATCCCGGCAGTAATTGTTCTTCGCCGTGCAGATTGTTGTCGTGGGCGGCTAAGAACCTGGACCCCTACGGGGTTGACTACATCCTCAACAAGCTGGGGTTCAGCCAAGCCTCAACCACCATCCCCAAGTGGCTGCAGCGGGGCTGCATGGACCCTCTCGACAAGCTCCTCTCGCTCCTTATGTTTAGGGTCATTACCGCGCTACGCGACCGGGACTACAGCGCCGACCCTGACCATTGAGGGACGGATTAAGGGTCCGACCCTGACCATTGAGGGACGGAGTGAGGGTCCGACCCTGACCATTGAGGGACGGAGTGAGGGTCCGACCCTGACCATTGAGGGACGGAGTGAGGGTCCGACCCAGACCACTGAGGGCCGGACTAAGGGTCAGACATGACCATTGAGGGCCGGACTAAGTGTCAGACCCTGAGCATTGATGGTCAGACTAAGGGTCCGACCCTGAGCATTGAGGGACGGACTAAGGGTCAAACCCTGAACATTGAGGGCCGGACTAAGGATCGGGCCCTGACCATTGAGGGACGGACTAAGGGTCAGACCCTGAACATTGAGGGCCGGACTAAGGATCAGACCCTGAGCATTGAGGGATGGACAAGGGTCCGACCCTGAGCATTGAGGGATGGACTAAGGGTCAGACCCTGAGCATTGAGTGATGGACTAAGGGTCAGACCCTGAACATTGAGGGTCGGACTAAGGGTAAGACCCTGACCATTGAGGGTCGGAATGAGGGTCAGACCCTGACCATTGAAGGTCGGACTAATGGTCCGACCCTGACCATTGAGGGACGGACTAAGGGTCAGACCCTAAACATTGAGGGCCGCACTAAGGGTCAGACCCTGACCATTAAGGGCCGGACTAAGGGTCAGACCCTGACCATTAAGGGCCGGACTAAGGGTCAGAATCTGACCATTGAGGGACGGACTAAGGGTCAGACCCTAAACATTGAGGGCCGCACTAAGGGTCAGACCCTGACCATTAAGGGCCGGACTAAGGGTCAGACCCTGACCATTAAGGGCCGGACTAAGGGTCAGAATCTGACCATTGAGGGACGGACTAAGGGTCAGACCCTGAACATTGAGAGACGGACTAAGGGTCAGACCCTGAACATTGAGAGACGGACTAAGGGTCAGACCCTGAACATTGAGAGACGGACTAAGGGTCAGACTCTGACCATTGAGGGACGGACTAAGAGTCAGACCCTGACCATTGAGGGACGGACTAAGGGTCAGAGTCAGACCCTTAGCCGTGTCCTGTGGTACCGCAAATGTAATTAGTTGAAGATGTTCTACATTAGATTTATGTTCAATTTTCATCAGAATTTAGAAAGAATATCGCTCGTATGTTGTAACCATGGATTGAACTAACGCCTGTTGTGATGAAAATATGCAGATGAATTGACTGCTATACATTTAATTATTTGACTTGATTGATAACTAGGAAGTATTTACTAGTCTAATTTAGAGAGCAACATGTTAGCATCATCTGATTGCGCTACTTTTTAATTTAACGACGTTAATCATTGAAGCATTCCAATTGTTTCCTGTTCTCATCGTCCATGGATCAGCAAATGTCTTTCAGTCTAGTGTAGAGTGACACTCAGGCACTCAGACAAATGGGTGAGTCTTTGTCCGAATAGCCATACATTATTTATGTTCGTGTCGGTCATCTTGACACGATTTAGCCTGGCCAAGACTACGTGCAGAAAGAGCTGCAATACGGCGTATTTTCTAATAGAATATTAATATTAAATAAGAAATATTAATAAAATAATAAATATTAATTATTACGGTGGTAATTATTAATATTTCCCTGGTTTTTGAGTACGTTGGTTATGTACATTTATCGTCCTCAACTTCGGTAATGTGATGCTCTCTTTGACGGCGAAAGTTTTTTCAAGTTTTTTGGGTTTTTTTTATATTGTATATTACAGGAGCTTCCTTTTTGCCCTTCCTTTCATTTGTTTAGTGTAATATTTCCTCAACTGCCATATCATTTTTACAGTTTGATTTTTCTTTGTAATTTCATCGTGAATATATAATAATTGTGATATTTTCGTACCTATTAGCTACCATATTATGACGCTGGTGCAATTTTAAATCTAACTTTTGTATTGCTGAGTGCCGAAAATTGCTGAATAATCAACTAGGTTCTACTCTGCCTGTGTTGTTGTGTTCACTAACTAGATGGTGAAGTGAGCTAGTGTACTGCAATAGCTCTAGTGTACTACAATAGCTCTAGTTCACCACAATAGCTCTAGTGCACCACAATAGCTCTAGTGCACTACAATAGCTCTAGTGCACCACAATAGTTATATTAAGATCATGAAGGCAGGAGTTCAATAAGAATTCTTCATATCCTATTATTATTACACGTTTGTATTAGTATTAAAATCACTTGACTGCTTAAATCGCAAGTTTATCAAAAATTTAAAAGCAAAGAAAATAGCCGAAACGTTTTCCTTTTTAAGAAATGGTGAATTTTCTGGCTATTTTCTTTGCTTTTAAACGTTTGTATTAGTCTCTCTTCACAAGATTTGTATCTTAGTTCAGAAGATGAGGTATTGAAATGCTTCAATTCGTCATATGTTCTCTGCCGGACATGATAACTGCCGGACATGCAACTGGACATGTTATCCTGACATGCCGGATAACTGCCGGACATGCAACTGGACATGTTATCCGGACATGCCGGATAACTGCCGGACATGCAACTGGACATGTTATCCGGACATGCCGGACAACTGCCGGATATGCATGCATGCAACTTGATTAGTTCTGCATGAAAGTTGCCTCAAATTCTACTTTCGATTTCAGTTTAAAGTGAAAAAAACGAGCGCTCTATCATGGTCATGTAGAGTTTTGTTTTCGGCGTCTGCTCGCATCATTCTAATTATTTTGTTATATAAGGTTTTTTCATTATGTTGGATTGTTTCGTTATATGAGAACTTCCCCAAGGCTCTCATTATGTAGGATTGTTTCGTTAAAAGTAAAACTTCCCCAAGGCTCACAATCACTTGAGTGTTTGGAGGATAAGCGCAAGATTGAGTGACAGACCTTGAATGCGTTTACATATTTAAGTTATTATGGTTGTGTGTATAAAGATTAAAGAGAATAACCTGAATGTGTTTACATATTTAAGTTATTATGGCTGTGTGTATAAAGATTAAAGAAGCCTGTGAAGCTTTTTAGCTTATATGGGCATTCGCATGGAAGCATTTTGTATTTTTTTACTCCAAATTTTTGCCATTTTCTTGTTATGAATTTTTTTGTTTGCTCCTGTGTGAATAAAGAATAAAGAATAAAAGAGAATATTAGTGTATGATATGTTGGTGCACTCTTTCATTTAGATATTGTACGTTTTTTATAATAGAAAAGATGACTTTTTATCGAGCGCACAAGTTCATAAGTGATGGCTGAATTGCTGGAAAGGGATTTTTCAAACGTATAACTTTGTCTTAAAAGAGGCCTGTGGATAACGTTTATCTTGCCTTCAAGACCTTTTTTATTTGTGGGAATAAATTACATGGATTTCGCATCATTAATTACGTTTTCTCTGTCAACGAATTGAGTTGGTTTGCTTAGTTCTTCACGCTGGATAACTAACTCGATATAATTCACCACAATAGCTCTAGTGCACCACAATAGCTCTAGTGCACCACAATAGCTCTAGTGCACCATTCTAATTATTAGAATTATCATTCTAATTATTTTGTTATATAAGGTTTTTTCATTATTTAGGATTGTTTCGTTAAAATTAAAACTTGCCCAAGGCTCACAATCACTTAAGTGTTTGGAGCGCAATATTGAGCGACAGACCTTGAATGCATTTACATATTTAAGTTATTATGGCTGTGTGTATAAAGATTAAAGAGAATATTAGTGTATGATATGTTGGTACTCTCTTTCATTTAGATATAGTACGTTTTTTATAATAGAAAAGATAACTTTTTATCGAGTGCACAAGTTCATAAGTGCTGGCTGAATTGCTGGAAAGGGATTTTTCAAACGTATAACTTTGTCTTAGAAGAGACCTGTATATAACGTGTGTCTTGCCTTCAAGACCTATTTTATTTGTGAGAATAAATTACATGAATTTCGCATCATTACTTACGTTTTCTCTGTCAACGAATTGAGTTTGTTTGCTTAGTTCTTCACGCTGGATAACTAACTCGATATAATGAGATCATGGTTGTTCTGTGTACGGAATCCAACGTTATACTGTAGCAATCACAGCTATTTTCATCTCTTGCTTTTGTTGTTGTTAGTTCAAGAAAGAAGATAGTTTGTCCCTGCAAATATCACGAGTGGATACTATATTTCCTCGCATAAATTTGTAGTAGATTAAAATGTTCGTTGTTTCCAAGTAAACTCTCATCAATGTTCGTCGTGGTGGCCCGCTCTTCTCAAATGTATTATGAATATCAATCAAGTGACGTTGTTTTCCTGAATTTCAATGAATATCGGGTGAAGTTGTTTTTTCCTATGCATTAGTGTACTGTGTAACAGTGCACTATCCAATCCGCTTCATACAATTTCATAGCTTATTTCTAGAGGCTTTACTGTAGAAAAAGCCATGACCGTAGTGATAAAAGGGTTAATTCTTAATAAAAATATATGTTTAAATAGATGACTTATATGCATTCGAAGACATTATGTACTAGTCTAGTGTATATGTGAGAGCAGCATCTTCTTCTCTAGTCGGTTCACGGTAAGTGATAGTGACGCGTGTTAGTGACATCAATAAAACGTTTCGTCCTGACCAAGTTTGTTATACCTCAGCTCGTTGGACTGAAGGCAGACTTGGGAGCAGACATTCTCAAGCTGAACTAAAGTGATATTTCTTGCGTACTTACATTAGTGGTAGCTGGTCATTTTAACTATGGTAGATAACATTGTGAATAAGAAATCTGAGAGTTATCTCAAATACTGCGAAAATTAGGATACCTCTTATACACTTTTATCTTAGGATACCTCTTGTACACTCTTATCTTAGGGTACCTCTTACACACTCTTATCTTAGGATACCTCTAATACACTCTTATCTCAGGGTACCATTTATACACTCTTATCTTAGGATACCTCTTACACTCTTATCTTAGGATACCTCTTATACACTATTATCTTAGGATATTTCTTGTACACTCTTATCTTAGGATACCTTTTATACACTATTATCTTAGGATACCTCTTATACACTCTTATCTTAGGATACCTCTTACACTCTTATCTTAGGATACCTCTTATACACTCTTATCTTAGGATACCTCTTTAATACCATCTTATCTTAGGATACCTCTTACACTCCTATCTTAAGATACCCTTAATCTTAAGATACCCATCATATTCTGAGTCATTCAGTCTCATATAGCCATATATTCTGTGTCATTCAGTCCAGTCCAGTAGAAGAGATAATATAAAAATAAACAAGGATGCCTCATTAAAGTTCAATATTTCAAAATCAAGTCCAACTTTTAGTATTTTAAATAAAAATGTTGGCAATCAAACTTCAATTGTAAAATAGACGCAGCGAAATCCCTTCCATTGGAAGTTAAGCCACATCACATAGACGCAGAACTCGAGTTAAGCCACATCACGTAGACGCAGAACTCGAGTTAAGCCACATCACGCTGACGCAGAACTCGAGTTAAGCCACATCACGTAGACACAGAACTCGAGTTAAGCCACATCACGTTGACGCAGAACTCGAGTTAAGCCACATCACGTTGACACAGAACTCGAGTTAAGCCACATCACGTAACATAACATAACATAACATAGTGATGTCGGCTCTGAAGTGTAGGCCTGATGTGGCCTGTCGCCGATTCTTTTCCATTTCGAAGGAATGCCGATTCTTTTCCATATAGGATGGCATGTGGCCAGCATGCGGGGCCACAACAACACATAGGACGGAATGTGGCCAGCATGCGGGGCCACAACAACAATATAGGACGGCATGTGGCCAGCATGCGGGGCCACAATAACAATATAGGACGGCATGTGGCCAGCATGCGGGGCCACAATAACAATATAGGACGGCATGTGGCCAGCATGCGGGGACACAGAACTCGAGTTAAGTTTAATCTGAGAGTTTAATCTGACTGACTGGCAGTCGGCTCACCGAGCTTATATACGCGGTGACCCGCGAGTAGTGACATCACAGAAGGTGACGTACGTAGGGGTCACTAATGACATCACGACCTGACACTGGGCAGCGAATTAGTTCCTATCTAATTTGTTAAAGAACTCCCCCACCCGCCTCCCTTTCATGATCTGTCGTGAAAGCAAAAATCAACGTACAGAGATGGCAATGGTACCGTTGGATAGGGCAGAATCTCAGCTTCAAGATGAGACTAAAAATCGGAAAAGCCATTTTCGAAAATTTTAGGGTATACCGCCCCCCCTTAAGAATCGGGAACAGGTCTAATGGCTTAATATGAACGCTGTCACCGCCATTACAATTCCTATCTATTGCTCTCAGCGTTTGTAGTTGCTGGTATAACGGCTGTTCTTTGAGCAAGATACATAACGTCTAAATGATGCGTAACGTTGTCTAAATTCATTATTCCATACATTCTCCGTACAAAGTATTTCTCTCAATCTTTATCTCAGGCAACATAACTCGTTTTTTTTATAAAAAAAATCTTCACAAAAAAGTTCTCAGTGTGAGTATAAATCGAAATTATAAACCTTTCGTCCTGAATAGTTTGTATTTGAGACTGAAAAGCCACAATTGTAATTAAGCTTGATTGATGAATGATTTTCCAAATCAGAGTTTCATTGTGATGTTTAAATAGAGTTAATGAGAAATTTGCTTATTCGTGAGCTCTTTAAAATAGTTCATGTATTAGTTAAATGTTTCAATTTTATTTTTGTTACTCTAAGAGGTACTATCAAAATCCGCTTAAGTAAACGTAGCAGCCTAATTTTACGTAGTGACCTTAGTTCACATATAGCAGCCTAAGTAAACGTAGCTGCCTAAGTACACGTAGCAGCCTAATTGCAAGTAGCGGTCTAAGTACATGTAGCGGCCTAAGTACACGTAGCGGCCTAAATACACGCTGCGGTCTAAGTACTCGTAGCGGCCTAAGTACAGGTAGGGCCTAAGTACACGTAGCGGCCTAAGTACACGTAGAGGCCTAAGTTCACGTTGCCGCCTAAGTTCACGTAGCGACCTAAGTACACGTAGCGGCCTAAGTTCGCGTAGCGGCCTAAGTACACGTAGCGGCCTAAATACACGCAGTGGCCTAAGTACACGTAGCGGCCTAAGTACATGTAGCGGCCTAAATACACGCAGTGGCCTAAGTACACGTAGCGGCCAAAGTAGACGTAGCGGCCTAAGTTCACGTTGCCGCCTAAGTTCACGTAGCGGCCTAAGTTCACGTAGCGGCCTAAGTTCACGTAGCGGCCTAGATACACGTAGCGGCCTAAGTTCACGTAGTGGTCTAAATATTAGTACAATGTGCTGTTAGTACAATGTGCTGGTAGTACAATGTGCTGGTAGTACAATGTGCTAATATTCGTTTCCTGCCCTGACTTCAGCGCGAAATGACGACACACTTTGATGAGCCTCGATGACTGTCCTGCCCGTTAAATATGTCATCAGACCGAGAAATAATGTTTATATTGATGATGACGATGATGGTGATGATAGAGCTGGTCTCCGAAATGTTTTATTTTTCTTTTAATCGAGGATGAAATTCCTTGATGTTCTGTTTGCTTCCAAGTTATTGGCGATCTAGCGAGTAAAGCAGACTAATGATAGAAGTATATGTTGATAAGTGATGATAATGATGATGATTTGTTGTTTGTGCTGAGAGAAAATGTTCCACATGAATTGACCATGGCCACATAGCCTGAGGTTGAGCCGTGTTGGTCGCATGTTTGTGGACAAATATGGCGCTTATGCCTGCATTTCACCTTGCAGGTCGCTTGCTATAACGCACTGAGGTCAGGCGTATAGGCCGTCCCAGGTAAGGAGAATTAATCCAAGGAAAAGGTTTGAAAACATTATATTCTTTATTGTTTGTTGCAATTATATAGTTCAATACGGAAGAAAATATATGGATACTAAGATTGTGAATGGTATGTAATTAATTATATTGAATACACCGAATGGGTGGGCGATTGTGTGTCCCGCAAATTTTCCAGCGAAGTTTTTGAACGTTAAGGCGTAAGTTTAGATAATTTTTTAAAGGTTTATGTTATATACCCAAGTTACGACAAAACCATGGATCTTTTACACAGGGTGTTTCTCTAAATTTTCCCGTAACATTATATTATTTTGGAATAATATTCATCGTCAAGGCAAGTGCATGAGGGCCTGTTTCCATGTGATATTTAATACCGAGACTTTATACAACATTACAGAAGATAAAAAACTTTTGATTTGGTATACCTTGATACTGACATGTAGACAGAAAGGTTTGGTGTTGGACGCAAAACCAGTTAGGCTCAGTCGGTGAAGTGGGTGACTGACTGACTGTGCCATGTTGCGGCCACCAATACGCAGAGCGTGCCACTTGTCATTGGACAGTTCCTGGAAGCTGTAGACCAAAACACGGGGATTGTAGGGTCCACAACAGGATCCAACTACTACGTCAGGATCCTGTCTACCATTGACCGCGAGCTGCTCAAACCTTCCTCGTCAGTCGCGCTTCACAAGCATAGCAATGCTCTTGTTGATGTTCTGCCGCCCGAAGCAGACTCGTCTATTTCAATGTTAGCCGCTGATGAGAAGCCAGATGTTACTTACACTGACATTGGTGGCCTAGACATCCAGAAGCAGGAAATTCGTGAAGCTGTTGAACTTCCTTTGTCTCATTTTGATCTGTATCGATCCTCCTCGCGGAGTGCTTCTCTTTGGACCTCCAGGCTGTGGCAAGACCATGTTGGCTATAAAGCGGTAGCGCATCACACGACTGCCGCTTTTATCAGAGTTGTTGGCTCTGAATTTGTGCAGAAATATTTAGGTGAAGGATCTCGAATGGTTTGGGATGTTTTCCGACTGGCGAGAGAGAACGCTCCTGCCATCATCTTCATTGACGAAATTGATGCAATTGCTACAAAAAGATTCGATGCACAAACGGGAGCTGACCGCGAAGTTCAGCGCATTCTTCTTGAACTTTTAAACCAAATGGACGGCTTTGACCAAACAACAAACGTGAAGGTCATCATGGCCACCAACCGAGCTGATACTTTGGATCCTGCTCTGCTGCGACCAGGAAGGCTGGATCGTAAAATAGAGTTCCCTGTACCAGACAGACGTCAGAAGCGTCTCGTGTTCAGCACCATCACAAGTCGCATGAACCTCAGCGATGACGTCGATTTGGAAGACTACGTCGCACGGCCCGACAGAATCTCCGGCGCTGATATCAACGCTATCTGTCAGGAGGCAGGGATGCACGCCGTGCGACAGAACAGATATATTGTGCTTGCTAAAGACTTCGAAAAAGCGTACAAGAACAACGTCAAGAAAGATGAGAGTGATCACGACTTTTGTAAGTAAACAGTTGCAATAATGAGGGGGAATTTCATGTTAACGTGACACCTCCACGGACGCGTCTTCTATTATTACTGCGTCACGACTGGTCGCGGTTTTGTTCTTTAGATCGAAGGTGCCGCGATCCTACATGAAAGTTGATGCCTCCTTTAATTTGTTAAGTATCCCGTCATGCAATTGAAATAACAGAATTTGGAGGCTTTGGTTGTTCATTCCTGAACACAGGAAGACAAACTTAATCATTCAAGCTATATATAAGCCCATATATTGCCATTTTACTCGATGCTCTAGCCCATTTGAAAGTATCCAAAAAATGCACGCTATGTTCTGAAAGAATTTTATCACCTTGATTATCTCATCCAATGTTCTGATTGCGCTTAGAGTATTTATGAGAAAAACTCTGAATGAAATTAAAGTTTAATTCAAACCTCCCTTACAATTAGCTACAGCTGAGTTTGGATCGCTCATACATCAACATCAAATAGCATCATTTATTCATACAGCTGACGTAACCGTTCATATTGATAATCCATTTGCAATACTTTGCACAAATAATCGGAATACAGAAACCGTGACAGGCATTTTCAAATAATCGTTAACACTTCGTTCAATTCATGTGGCAGTAGGAAGAAAATGGGCACACAGGTTAATTAAGGGTGACTTACTTGGACTCGAGGCCCCAATATGTAACACTTCGTTGGTGTAAGCGTTCGTCGCACAATCTTGGCTGACACAAACTACCAACGCAAGTAATTAACATCAAATTCTAAAAACTTGGACCGAAATCCTCGCTTATCGACTAGAAATCGGTGTAGGGAACTTAGACTCACTCGCTGTCGACAGTAAAGAATTACGTCGCAATGCACACAGAATTTTTATCGACTAAAACAATGTATTTCCAAACACGAAATACGTGTAAAAAAACTTAATATACATATGGTTAATATTTATATCAGGATACATTTGAATTATGCAGTTGATATGAAATGAATTGTGTATTCCGGCCAAAGTCATGATGAACTGACGCTTTCTCAACTGACTCCGATATGAAAGAAAATATAATGAGGCTAAGCTAAATAACAATGTGGTGCTATTTACTAGAGGTCTAGCTTTAAAAAGGGTAACAAAACATTGAGACGGACAAACTCGCATGAACTACATATACATCATGAAGCATGGTAAGTAGGAAAATTCATTACCATAAATACATGATAAAATGCACGTTATCAGTACGAACTACAGCTACATACACACCAGTACGTATCCAACTTTTGTTCAAACGAAGAAACAAAATGATCCTCATATGGATGAACAAATAAATTTGTATTCCGCTTGGAACCTCATACTAGGAGTAGCAATAAATTATGCATTAAACCATACGAACTATAATTAACAAGTTATCAAACTTTAAAAAACTGCAACACGGGACGAACTATCATCCTCAGCCGTGATTTAATTTGCTTACGTTATGTACAAAATTATTATCGAATGAATGCAATAAAATTTATCATCAGATATTAATATTAAAAAATGTTACGAGAAAATAACAGGGGCCGCACATAGATTAGAAAAATTGAGCCAAGTTAAGAAATTAGACAACACGGAATGAGAGATGCAGCGAAGGAAAGCGGACATCACAAGCCAGCAGAAGTGACACACAAGCACCGGCTTCCATGACGATGGAAATTCCTCTTCTACGTTTTTCTTGTACGTCGAAAAACGCCATTCAAAATTTTGAAGACAATATCGTATGTATTAGCCGGCAAAATTGCGATAAGAAATTTTTCAGAATATGATAAAAAATTGTGAACTTTTGTTTACATGTAGTCACGCTTCCAATAGCAATTATTAAGCCAAACTTCGTCTTGAACTAAGTTTCATCTCAAAACCGCACATCTTTGTTCTTTGAATTTCCACGAGCCAAGTAAGCATAGGAAGAATAAAGGAGTAAGCATAGGAAGAATAAAGGAGTAAGCATAGGAAGAATAAAGGATAAGATTAAACGAAAGCAAGAAAACAAATTACAAAATTCGCAAGAAGGAAATAGAATAGAATAGAATAGAAGTGTCGGCGTTGAAGAAATAGGCCCATGGCCTGTTGCCGATTCTTGAACTTTTCGTGACTTGATTCACAAGGGATCCGGCCTTTGGAACCCGATCTTACTTTCTTACTTATTGCCTGATCCGTAATTTGCTAGGCATTTTTGTTGCGCGTCTTTGAACACTCTCTACTAAATTTTTGTCCTTTTCAAATTTCGGTGACCACACGACGTTTTCAAACTCCAGGTTCGGGCGCACGACAGCAACAAACAACTGCTTCATCGTTTCTGCATCTATAGGAACTCGAAAGAGCGTCTGATCAGTCCAAGTCGTTGATTGGCTTTATTAATTAAATAGGCCGAAGACAATCGTGCAAGCGTTACAAATGCACCGCACGACGAAGATCCTAACAAAAAATAAGAGAAGTTACCAATACTTGTAGATTGGGAAGCACCACTGTTAAGAGAACATTTTCTTTAATAAGATTATAGAATAATTTGAGGCAGTAATCCTTTTGGTATGTTAACCGCCTTCATCGTTCTGAGTTGACCATCATCTTACGGGCCAGACAAGCACCTGAACATGGCACATTTTTGACAAAAGCTAAAAGAACTATCTTAATTTATTTGAATATTAACTTTTACTAGCATTGCATTCTAGCCAATCAATTAAGTGATACACAGAATCCTTACGTCAGCACAGAAGCATCTGAGTGCATTTAAACCTTCCCAGTTGTTGTTGTTGTAGTGACGCGTAGACGCAATTGACCTACCAAGTCATCACAATTATTGTCTGACTGCATATGTAAAACTGTACCTACACTCTGAAGTTACAAAATTAGGCAGTCTGACAATGGTTGATATTAGTCGTACTAATAATAATGGTTGATATTAGTCGTTGATATTAGTCGTACTGACAATGGTTGATATTAGTCGTACTAATAAGACAACAAGAAGTGCTCCAGCAGTTACGCGCAGTGCAGGGAAGAGTAGTGTGGCTTTAGGCAACTTTGATTTGCTTCATTTTCGGTCCCTTCTTTTTCGCGGCGCGTCTGTTCTCGCGTTCCTCCCACTTACGCTGCTTCTCGGGATCGTCGATCTGTGAAATAATCCATATCGGTTAAAATAATTAGATTTTTCGGGGCAATTTCAATCAATGAGGCTTGAAATTATCCACATTCAATACCAAGAAATCTGGTTTGCACAAGTTTAACTTGTTGACGCCAATTCTTTTATGTGAAAGGTTCACTTAATTACTCTTAATATACATACATACATTTTTTTAATGTTGTCGAAATAAATCACAAACTTTTGATGGATCATATCTATTGCCTACACATCTACTCCTAAGTAGAAATTTCTTTCCCCCATTAAGCCATTAAACTCAATCTATTTATTGCCTGAATCAACAAGCAACATGTAGTGTTCTACTCTAATAAAAACATATCCACGATATTAAACTTGACAAACGTGCAATGCCTACTAAACCATTGACATTCTATGATATTCATCAGAGGTTATGAGTACTCCCAATTTTTGCATCAGTAAAATAACTTTCTCCCACTGCGAGGTACAGTTAACCATCACTCTCCTCCATCATCCTCTCTCTTCCACTGCGAGGTATACTACGTTCGTATACCACTACGAGGTATACGTAACACCATCACTCACCTCCATCATCTTCTCTCTTTCTGTTCTCTTCTTCTCCTCCCTCTTTTCCTGGGCTCGTTCCGCTCGGACGGCGTGCGTGGCCTTCAAAAAAGCTTCCTCGACTCGACTGCGGTTCTTATCAGCTTTGCTCTTGCTCTGCTCGTCAAATATTATGAATTAATAAGGTGGTAGATCTTTAAAAAATGTTAAAAGTTAGCTTTAAACGATGCGCGTCAAAATTATACCAACTATTACGGTCGTACATCTCGTGCATCTACTAAAAATATTAAAATTTAACTTTCAACGATGCATTATTATTCAAGAGTGCTCTTTAGTTGCCAGAACAAGACGTCGATTATTCCTATTGCTCGCTAGTCGTCACTAATATCTGAAGAAAACATTGTTATCAATTATCAACCTCTTTGGAGAGTTTGAAGCGACTGAGTTTATCAGCAAGGTAGAGGACGAGAACGAGCAGGGATCTGAGCTCCTCCATGTCGTCGGCGCTGATCTTGTCACTCTTTTTAGGAGAGGATTTGCCGCTGCGCTCGGCGGGGGCGAGAAGCTGGAACGACAGAATTACCACCTTCAGCACAGGCGGCATCTTTGAAGCTGTCGTCAGCGACTGCTGGTCTCTGAAATTTAAATAAATTCTTTAATTTAAACAAAAAATGACACCTAATTCCTTCAACAAAGCATCAAATAATTTAAAATTAGCTTCTTCATAACTGAAGATGAAAGCGTTAGCTCTTATTAAGGGACACATAAGTTTTTCAAATGAAGCAGTTAGTACATTTGAATTGAATAATAATTGGGCTTCACATTACATGGAATGCTTGAATTCATTTTTATGATAATTTCTGCTAACTTCAAATGCAAGATAAGAACAAGTTTGTGCTTGTGCTCTTAATGCCAACATAGCCCGAGTGCATAATCAATAAGAAAAAAAATTAATCCAACCGATAGTCCGGATTTAGTGCAAATAATAAGCAAAATTAAATCAATAATAATGACGAGAACTTTTGACTTAATTGTAAAAAAATACCAAAAGGCGAGCCATCATAGTTGTAGGAATGAATTTCCGACGGTTATGTCAACAAGTGTAGAGAGAACTTAAGAATTTATTTTGACTGGATAATTTTTGTTCCAATTATAATAGAAAATCATTACGATTGCTGTGACGTTATGAATGCTTTGCGAAATGAAATCAGTGAGAGGAAGCACAAGACGCAAGTGTTGAGATCTTTAACGCACCTGTTTTCAGTCTTCCTGAAGCATTAAAGGGAGAAGAGATAAAACTTCATATCTAACCCACTAGGGGAAATGGTTTAAATGTTACAACGTGAGAACTGACAAGCTGTCGCTTCACTATCCTAACATAATTCAAAATTCTTTTGAAGAACTCATAATAAACATGAATTAAAATTAAAAGAATTTTAACAGTAATAATAGTGAAAAATTGAACTCGGACTCCTAATTGAATAATGAATTAAAAGATGGAAGTTTCAAAATTTCACGTCCGAAAGCCAAAACAAGACTTACGGTAGACCATACACCTTACTTCAAGGTAAATTTCAATTTGTTTACAGACTATACAAAGGTACAATATCTAAATTCAGAAGCCTTGCACGAAACTAACCCCCCCCCCACTCACAAATTTCCTAAGAACAGCCGAAGAAGCCTAGCCAAAAACAAGAAGACAAAGAGATTTACTTATTATTGTACACTATGTTTTGATATACTATGGATACTAACGCATCAGGTTGCTGAGGTCCGCTGTACTGGTCACTGATGTGCAGGTAATTAATACGAGCTAAATGTTTGCCCAAGACCGTCACGGTGCGCGGGTCCGTAAGAATCGCATTGCTGGCCTCCGCTATCTCGCTGAGAAGTAGGAACTTGCTGTAGCTGGCACAGCCTCCGTACTGCTTGCTCGGTAAGGTTCCTTTGCGGTCACCCGTGCAGAACGTCGTCTGAAATGAAACTGTAGTTAAGGGGCGGTACTATCGACACTCGATGATCTACACGTAGTGGTCTATATACACGTAGCGAAGTACATGTAGCGGCCTAACTACCTACACCTAGCGGCCGATTTCCTGTCTGTGATTGGAGAGTTTAGCTGGAAAAGCAGTCAATGATTGACTGATGGAGGTAACGAATTCTTGCTGTTGAGGTAACTAGAATCGAATCATTTCCAGCAAGACTGAGGTGTCCCCTCAAGGGAACGCTCTTGATCTCTGCTGCAAACAGGTTGTGCAGAGACATTGATTTCTCCCCGAGAAAATGACGTTGAAACAACGTTCAATCAACGTCAATTGCAGCATAGATTATGTCGCAGACCATGTGTTTGTCAAGCATGCGAGTCAGGCTGAAACGGCAGAGGCATCAGTTGCGCAGGATGGCAAGCCCTACCACGAAGCCAGCCACCTTGAATGGCGCAATAAACCTAACAACTGCTATTGACACGTTGAGTGTGACACGACCTACCACTGGGTTGCCTTGAAAATGGCCAAGTCCGCGGATAAAGAGGTCCACAATTCAATAATCACTGGTGTATTGGTAGGTTGCGGTGCAAAAATTCAAGTTTCCTCTAATACAATAGGGACATACCAACATCATAAACTTTTGCCAGTCAGCGCTATTGAAACGAACTAAATCGTGCAACTTGTCCTAAAAAACCCCATCTGGCAACCCAGGTGGATCGTATGGCACTAGAAGTATTAAGAGCTGCAAACTTCAGTCATCAATTACTGAACACGTGTTCGGTACAATGACATAGACCGCAAATGCAAAAGAGGTCAGTTTGTTGCTATCCAACCAATTAGTATTCGCTTGGATTGCTTGACATCATGCAAAGTTCGGATTAAATCACAACAATTCAATAATAAGATGCCACTTGTGATCAATACAGTTTACATCAGATGTACATGTTAGGATTGCTGTGAAGTTATCAATTCTTGGTGAAATTAAATCAGTAAGAGGAAGAACATGACGCAAGTCCTGTGCTTTGGAATTGAAGTTCACTAAAATGTTTGTTCTGGTCATTGCAAGTTTTAATTAAACTCCCAGCTAGGAAGTACCAATACCATAAATAGCAAGTTTGCTCTGATTATACAAGAAATATGAAATGTGTAAAAATTTGAGACATTTTCTAGAACTATTCATCAGAATGAATACCTAAAAGAAAAAAGCCATTTTTACGGTGGCCACATAGGAGGGTAAACCACCAAACAATATGAGCTCTTCCTAAAATATTGAACAATACTCACAATATCGGTCATATCTTTGACATATTTGGAAGCCATCTTCTTGGTGGCGAGACACATGACGAAATTCTCCATGTCGTCCAGTCTGATCTTGACAACCACCTCGTCTGTGGACGGCCTGAACATCTGCATTGCCACCGACACCAGGTCTTGACGCTGCAATTGACGAGTTATATTATTATCTCATACATTTTTATTAGTAACCTATAACACATGAGAAAACCATGTTTTAACCCATGTCTCCGTTTTAAAACCCAACAGTGCCTTTTACTCTACTAATTGATTGTATTTGTGTTTCTAGATCTGAACTTCTTCTGAACTGAATTTTGTGAACTGACGATGGAGCTGGACTCCGAAACATTTTCTGTTATAAAGATATGGTGAATTTTTGTGGTATTGTTTTTGCTTTTAAATTCCTAGTTAACATGAGAATGAAATGCATGTTTATCCTAATTTGGGTTTCAGCTTTGGACAAAGTGTTACTTTTTTAAACAATGTTGGATGTGATCTTATCACGAAATTTAGAATGAAGCTTACTTAAAGTTTTACGTACCCAAAATGTAATCTGCTTAAAAATATTGACTGTAAAACACACAAAACTGGTCACCACATGAACAGATGAAAAAATGCTTCGTATATGACTTTCAATTTAAATATTAAATAAAAGGACAATGCTGAACTGGAAGCAACTTCTGAGTTTAATAACAAACCAAATCAAAACTCCTCGGCCTAAGATACTATGCAGGTCCGTCAAATAAGTATCAAAATCATACATTAATAAATCAAAATTATTGTCAGCCACCTAAAAAGTGCATCCAACTCAAAACGGTCAAAAAATTGAAGTACAACTAGTTTTTATTAATTTTAAATTAGCATTAACTGTTGTCAACAGACATTTTTAAAATCCAGGCAAAGCTAATAGTGAGCTTTAACCACAAATTAATGAAGAACAATACATGAAATGTCACGAAATCAATAATTTTAATGAAAAGGAAAATTTTTTGAGGTTTATTGCCCCTGTTCATTAATTAAAACTTAAGCATTAAACGCGTTTTTTCAACAACATTAATTAAAACTTAAGCATTAAACGCGTTTTTTCAACAACAAGTATTAAAACTTAAGCATTAAAAGCGTTTTTTCAACTTAATGCCCATTGACAAAATTTTTCTATGTCAAATAGTTTTTGAGTAGTGGGGGTTTTTGTTAAAAAAAACAAAAAGTGGTCTAAGTTACCCCGCCGGTCTAAGTTACCCCATTTTACGGTAGTTTGATTACGACAGGAAAATGGTTGCTTACTGATACATGGACACTTTAGAAGGTGATAGGACAACACGACAGAGAAAAGATACCTAACTAATTGAATAGACAACTCAATGGTATTTTTAAGGTATTATTGACAGCATTGAATTAACGAGTGAACAAATTAGCAGAAAATAGCATAAAACAAATACACAGGGATTAATTTTTTACAAAGAAGATTACGTCTTTTGATTTCTAGGAAAATAGAGAATATTGTGTAAAAATAAATGTAGAGAGAGTATTCAAGAATTAGGTTTGTAGGAGCAAATATAGAAGAGTGTTAATCTATTTTAGAGCTAAAGATAATATCTTTAGCTCTAGGTAGGCTCTATGTACCTAGGCAGCTCAATGCAACACCGACAGAAGCAACATAAACCTCAGTAATCATTACTATACAATTGTTCATATCCCTTAGATTGCTATTGGCTGCTAAATTTCTTAATCTTTGCATTTGCTGTAGAATGTAAGTGGTGAATACCTCATGCATGCAAACTTTGTTAAATTTGAGACTAAATTTAAAACTACAATATTATTTATGAAAGAATTCATAAAAATCACAAACATACTGTACAATGAAGAACAAGTGAGCTCACCAACAAGGGCAAACTGCTGCGTCAGCAGTGTCTTGTTAGCCTCAAACCACGATGTTGCTAGCTTGGCATTTTTGGCTCTGCCAATACTAAAGTTGCCAAAATAAATAAGAAGTCCAAAGAGCAAAATAAGCTCCAAGTAAAAACTGTCCCAGTTGCTCCTCAAGTGCAAAGGAACCTGCAAAAAAATTACATTCAGTAACAATATTACCACAGAACATCTTCATCTCTTCATCATAAATATTAACCCAATTAAATTTTTTTTGCATTAATCACTTTGGAATGCTAAAAATCAAGGACAAATACTGAAGAATATAGGTAATTAGTGATATACACCAGAAAAGCTTCCTATAATTTTAATAATTCTGGCTGCTTAATTAATTCTGACAAGATGTATACACAGCTCATTAAAAATTACTTGCAATACCTAATCCAATAAAGTTAACTACATAAAATCCTGGTTCAGTATGAGAAAATAATTCAAAACTCACATCAGCCACTGTGATTTTTGGTTCACGAATTGGTTCTTTGTGTAGATTGTGTTGTGCTTTGGTGCTGCTGCTGTCACTGTTGTAGCCAATGAACTCCTCGGTGTCAGCCAAGTGGCTGTACTCGTCTGCTTCATTGCCCTATGAATATCCACCAATTATTAAACTAATAAAATAAACTAATTTTTTACATAAACATAGTGCCCAATCATGTTCAAATTCCAAGATGACAGTTCATATATTTGAGATTGATCCATTCTAATAATTTTCTCATTTTCAAAATATGATTACGGTATATCATTTATATGTGGAAAGTCAGGCTTCGGGGTTTTTAATCTAATCTGAGAGGTGTATCTATTCATACATATACCATATTCCCCCTCTGAATTACATTTGCAAGCACAATATTATAAATTTTTATTTGTAAGTAATTCAAATGAATCTTGTCTGCATTATTGGTAGTCATTAATAAGCAGACATTCAAGCACAATCAAGTGAATCAACTGACGGCAAATTTCAATTTAGACACAGAAACTATACCCAATTAAACCATGAATACCAATAACAAGTATATCTAATAAAAACTTTCCTACTCTTTAAAATCAAAATTCTTAGACAATATCCTAAATTCAATTACTAAAATAGAAAATTCTACAATATTTTAATAATTGTAACAGGCACCTCAAGGGGAGCATCTTCTTTCTCTTTAGGAAAGAATTCAGGGGAGATGTTCTCTTCACCTTCTATCACATCATTAACCACCACACCATCTTCATCAAAATCTTCTTCAGCATTAACCTTCTGACTATTTTCAGCTGTGTCTTCTGCAGGAAAATTATACACAATGATAACAAATCAAGGATTTTTATTCTCACACTTGCACAAACCTGTATAGGTTCATTTATTTAGTGTACCATACCTGTACTGGCTGTACACACCAATTTGGAATATTGGGCAGAAGTTTCCTAAAATTCAGGCAAATTTTATTATTTAAAGCGATTTTTGCAAATTGCAATTGAGAATAGGCCACTTTTCTTCTTGGAAATTGGAAAAATTGGAAAAAGGCCACAGGAATGGGTGAAATTGGCCAGATTAAAGGGCATTTTGTCCAATTTAGGGGTGGCTTAGCTGCTTCTACCCAATTGTTCACTTTGGCATATATGCATGCCATAGTGACCAATAGTATGGTACTGGAATTAATCTGATTCTAAATATCAAAATAATTTCTGCAATCCAGTAAATTTATCATGATATAATGAGTAGTAATTTTAAATAAATAATAACAGAGTCACAGAGTAGAATAAAATTCTGAAATAAATTATGCATGTACATAAAGTTAAAATATATAAAAACATTTATGATCAAAGTTGTATTTTTTTTAATATGAAAGTTTACTCATATCTATTCAAAAATATTGGGCATATTAACATGTTGACTATGATTGCTTCATCTTGTACTATTATTTCATTTTTTGTACTGTTTTCAAACAGGGTTGCCAGACGGACATTTTTTTCCAGACAAATTCGGTGATTTAGTTTTTTTCAATTGCATTGGCCGGCTAAAATTTATGATAGGGAGGGATACTTTCTAATTAAATTTTAAATACTGCAAAAAAAATAAATGGAACTTTTATAGCAGAACCTACAAATAAACTAGTATATACTGAGTTATTGGCCTTTTTTCTCCGATTTGGCTGATTTTAGGCAACCTGAATTATGTACCTACCACTACGTCAGACATCCTGGTGAAATACATTTCATGGTACGCATATGTACCACTTTGGAGTTAACATGTTAAATATTAAGAAAAAAGTACTTACCTTCATTATCAAAATCTTCAAAATCATGATCATCTGCTTCATAATTTGGTAGAGGATTAACAGAAATAAAAAATGACGTAAATAGTGCAAAGCCTAATACTAGACTAAGTATTTTTTGTGTACTGCCCATGGCAGCAAAATGAATAGGTGGAAAATTCTACCAGACAGAATTTCTTCACCTGCAAGCAGAAAAAGTTCCTTTACTGGCACAGTGGCACAAGCCTCAGCCCTCTGAGGCATATGTAGACAGTAGCCTAATGTAGGCCTAGTGGCAAAGCAGAGCACTTTTTAGACTCTCCCTCAAGTTCATTTTTGACTCCTATTACCTAAACTGTCCTAACCTAACCTACAAGTAGACCAGGTCACCTAGAAAGTATCATGGATACCAGCTTTATCATAGCCTACATAAGAAATTGGTTTAAATCTTTAGTAAAATGAGAAAATTAAAAATGAACTGATTTTAAAAATCTCTGGCTTAGAAACTGTCCTGGCTCTGAGTGACAAGATAGCTAGATATCGAAGTGTAAACATTTATTTTCAGACATTCTCATTTTATTAATTTTACTGCAAGTCTGCTAGACTGCTACAAGTGCAACCTGCCTTAATTCAAGTCAATTGCTGAACTCATAAGTCATAACCTTGCATGCAAAATATTGGGGTTGGCAATGATTAAATCAAAATGTTTAAATCGTGTGATTTTAAATCACTTGATTTTTTTATAAAAAAATCATGTTTTTATTTTATTTTTTTTCTATTTTTTTATATGTTTAAATATATTGAGTGGCAGTCTTTACTTTATTTTGAGGTATTGTTATTCATGGTTTAGTATGAATGTACTATGAATGAAAAATTGGTATATAAACTTGTTGCCTTTAGTGTGTATTAGGTTCCAATAAATTGAATGTTTTTGGTACAGAGGCATCAAGAGTGTAATACATTGAATTTACTATGAATGATAAATTGGTATATAAACTTGTTGCCTTTAGTGTGTATTAGGTTCCAATAAATTGAATGTTTTTGGTACAGAGGCATCAAGTGTGCAATACATTGTACGTAGCTAGCAGCTTAGCTAATTCTTATAAGGCTATAAGTAGTCATCAACTATTTGACTATTTGTTATATATTGATTACAATATACAATTTAAATGTGTTAGCTAGCTTATACAGGATGGGGCAGAACCAATTGAGCAGTTTTGAGGCAAAATAAAAGAGTAATGGAGGTAACATACCATTTAAAATACTTATGTTTTGAAAACAAAATCAGGAAGATGGTGTCTGTTAGCGGCATCACACTGTTGGAGTCATTCTCAGAAGTTTCCTACAGCACGTTCACACATATGGCAAGGTATGGCCATAACCTCTGCTGCAATAATCTGTCCCCTTAGCTGTGGTACTCCTCCCTCCTCTGAGAATGACTCCAACAGTCTGTTGCAGCTAACAGCCTCAATCTTCCAGATATTGTTTTAAAACATAAGTATTCTAAATGGTATGTTATGCTAACCTCTAGGAAAATAAACTTTCTTCTTTATGTACCTCCATTAGCCTACTCTTCTATTTTGCCTCAAAACTGCTCAATCAGTTCTGCCCCACCCAGTATATTGAAAGGTTGAGATTGTATTGACCTTTTCTGAGATTTAGGCAATTAGAAAGATTTTTCACCCTAATACAATTATTCTAATTAAAATACCGTAAAATGGGGTAACTTAGACCACTTTTTTTTTATAAATGAACCCATTTTTTTACTAGCTAAATTAAACTTGAATTGAAACATGCAAAATACAGGTCTATACTCTAGCTTCACTCACCATAAATTGCTGGCTCCTGCCTCTCATAGTCTTTATGTAATTTCAAAAATAGTGATGGTCTTTGTTACCTCAGCTCTTGGGGTATCTTAGACCAGGTGGTAAAATCAATAATATTTTTTGGTAAAATAACTCTAGGTTTTGATGCATTGTAGTAGAACTCTTCTAGTTACATATGCAAATGACAACTTTGAGGAAAGTGTCACAGTTTGCAAATGGGGAGCACCGCCCCATAATGAGGGAAATGCGACTACCTAATGGCAGCCCTGATGGGGTAATATTGACTGGCTAGGAAATTAAGTTAAAATTACCATATACAAGACTCTGTAGAGTCTGAAACATAAAGAAAAAACATAAATAGGCTGTCAAACATAAAATATGTTATATATGATAATTTTATATTAACTTCCAAGCCGGTCTATGTTACCCCGTCAGGGCTGACATTAGGTGGTCTAAGTTCCCCCATTTGGGGGCAGCACCCCCCACTTGCAAACTATGACACTTTCCTAAAATTTGTCATTTGCATATGTAACTAGAAGAGTTCTACCACAATGCATCAAAACCTGGAGTTATTTAACCAAAAAATAAAAAAATTGGAGGGGGTACTCTGACAGGCTTTAAACAATAGTTTTTTTTCGTGGGTCACAGTTTTAATTTTTTAACCTATTAGATATGCAAACATTTTAAATATTTCTATTGTGTTATCTGTTATGTAGCCTCAGTATTAGGGCTTTAATGCCCATTGACAAAATTTTTCTATGTCAAATAGTTTTTTGAGTTTTGGGGTTTTTGTTAAAAAAATGAAAAGTGGTCTAAGTTACCCCGCCGGTCTAAGTTACACCCTATTTTCTGGTATTTAATTCAATCTTTAAATATGTTAATTTAAAACTAGAAACAAAACAATTACAATTATAAAACTATATATAAAATATTTAAATGCAGTGAATGGAAATAAAATGTTTGAAGTATGCATATAATTATTTAAAACAGTGTTAGCTTTTCTCTTTAAGTCTTGTTTCAAGTCGTTTGAGGTTTGTTTGGTTATCTTTCAGTTTATGTTTAGTAGGTATTTGTTTATTGGTCTGAAATAAATGGGAACAGTGCAGTCAGTCACTCAGTCACTACTAGTCGGTGTGTTTAGAGGGTAGAGTCTGGTAGATTTATAGGACATAAAACTAGTAGATCTATTGATAGTGCTGTGCACTGTGCTATGATGCTATCAGCTACCTATCTCAGCATCTGTTGTGTGACTTCAATGTTTAGAAGATCTGCATTCCTGAAGTGTTTTTGTATACTGAAGCCAGTTAAATAGTCAATATTTAGCTTGTTACCTTGCTCCATACAAACTTTACAAAGCTAATGAATAGACTTATCAATAATTGTTTGCCCAAAAATCCCTAAGTGGTAAACACTACCTTGGCCTGTTGGTCATTATTAAAGGCAATAAGTGCCTTTTTACCCATCCATTATGATCCATATACTGTTATTGTTAGGGTGAACGAGGTATATTCCGACACATTAAGGATGTAGCAAAAAATGAATGGCTATAAAAAAAATCACCGTATGCAAAACTTGAGTTCTGTTTGCTTTACATCACTCTCAAAACACCGCACTATGCGCCAGCAACAATAAAACGTCACAAACTGTGGCCATATTTATTTAAAAGCCTTTAGAATGCAAACCTACCAAATCCATATATTCCGATGCTGTGTGAGACTAAATTAGGCATTTTGTGAGACAAATTCCGGCCGCACTTCAAACTCTACTAATTCGTAATTCCGACCCTCTTATCAGTCTTGTGTTCAAATTCCGATCGCTGTGTGAGCTGTATTGTAATATGACACAGCTCGGCATTAGAACACTACTTAATTAGGCTTTTAATTAAGAGCTATTAAGCTTTTAATTAAGAAAATTTTAATTTTTGGACACAGCTCAGAATGAACTGTGTGCGTCTAATTCCAAGCTGTGTTGGAATTAGTTTTTATGTGTCTAAAGCCATCTCTTAACTTAATCATCTATTAATTTATTTAACATTTGAAATCAGCAAATACAAGTATACTTAAAGGATTCCTAATATATTCACAGACTTATTTAAAAGTCTCAAACCATAATATTATTTCTACACAAACAGTTTATCACTATTTAGTAGGTAAAAAGTAGGTAGAGCAAGGTCTACTATCAACTTTGACACGTTTTTTGATGTTCTCACTCAGATTCACAGGGTGACGTGCACTGTCTCTCTTTGGATCTTAACATTTTCCCGCCCGACGGCCCAGACCTAGTGTTTTGGCAATACTATGGCGCGCAATAGTATGACATCACAACCATCAACGAATGCGTGGAACTAAGACAAAGCTTAAGTTAATATAAAGGAAAAAGTTGAGAAGTGTCGGAATTAGGTACTCACGATGTCGGAATATACCGCGTTTACCCTAGTAGGCTAGGCTAATTGTAACATAAAAAATAGGCTAACCTTTCAAAAAGACAAAAAAAAAACTAAAAAAATATCAAATAAATCATAAAAAAATACAAAAAATAATTGATTTTTAATTTTTTTTAAAAAATCACCAACCCTACAAAATAAAATCTTATTTGACTGATTTGAGTATAGCCAGTTGGAATGTTGCATTTTCTTAAGGGGGAGGTATACTTTTTGAAAAACTTTTTTGTTTAGGGACGGATCTTTCTGAAACTTCACACATAAATGTAAAACCGAAAAAGAAGCACATTTTGTTCATGTGATTATTTTGGAAAAATTGACAGAAAACATGAAATTCATAGAAAATGGACAAAAAAGGGGGTCCTGTAGAAATCTATCTCCTCCTAGGGTTTTCAAGCTACAACATAGAGACGCATATCATTCGATGCGTAAAGACCATACCAATCAAGTAACGAAGCCCGATTTTTTATTTTTGCCTTAGTTTTTTACACACATTTTTCCATTTTTTCTCATTTCCCCCCTTCCCCCCATTTTGAATCCAAACTATGCACAAATCTTAAAAAAGGGCTTTGTTACTCAATAGGTATGGTCTTTACAAATCGAATGGTAGGAGTCATACTGCGAATTCGCAGGAGTCATACTGCGACTTGCAGTACTGCCAGTACACCTCTCCGTACGAAGCAAGGAGGGTGACTGAGCCAGGACTGAGTGACAGAGTGAGCCTTGATGCCAGAAACGACCATATATAACATAACATAGTGATGTCGATTGTCGGCGCTGAAGTGTAGGCCTGATGTGGCCCATCGCCGATTCTTTTCCTTTTCGTGCCTTGTTCATAGATCTAAACTCGTGTCATTTGACCGGATCTTTTCATGACTGGCGATAGTTTGAACTTTTGAAGTAGCTAGGGTAAACGCGGTATATTCCGACATCGTAGGTAATTCCGTCACTTCTCTAG